TTATAATTTTATTGTTTTGTTGATCCATTAATGTGATAGATATGTTTGAATGCAATTGAAGTCACTGATGATTTTTACTGACCATATAATTGGTTAGAGACTTATATACCCGTATATATTATAGCCTTAGAAACTGTATATATATGCTAAACATAACTAATTTTAATCTCCAAAAACAAAATAGACAGACAATTACTCTTTTGCCAATTAATTATTTATATGGCATTTATAGGTACCGCCCTTAAAGTCATTCAACATATTTTTTTGAATAATATAACAAAAGATAGATACTGTGTATAATATACAGCACAGGTATGACAGTGGAAATGGTGCCAACAATATATAGTGTGTTTATTTGTGACCAGAATTAGCAATACGACAAATATGCAAAAATTTTATTTATTTATTTGTTTTTTTAATATTGTTTGTTAGTATTAATTATACAAAATAGTTTGATATAATGATTGTAATTATTATTATATAGTATATATATTTAATTAATTAAATAAAATAAAAATTGTTTCTATATCTTTTTCTATAATACTTATGAATAAATAGTGGCATATATTTATCTCACATCTATTTTGTTAATGATTGAGGACTTTTTTTTGTTGTATAGTATAGAATAATATATAACTGTATATACTATATGTGTTTATATATATCTTATCATTTTTGTTTTTAGTTTGATTATTGTATTGTTTTTATACGTTTAGATTAATATTTGTGTAATTAAAACATTCATTTGTGGTTAGTATATGACCGGAATATATATGATAGCAAATTATTATTATTAGTTGTATTTTTGGTTTTTATTTCATAGGACACTAATGATTATCAATAGTATAGTGGTTTCTACTGTATAAAGTTTATACAGTTTATACTATAAACATAAAAATCCTATCCCATAGAGTTATGTATCTTTTTCTCTATAAGTTATCTCTCTCTATATATCCCTTTTCCATAACAAATAAAATGATTATTAGACTCATTGTCTAATCTATTGGTGACTTGTTTTGTGTGACGGGTCATTCATCAAACCTATATAAACAGTATTATTGTATAATATTAAATATGATATATAAACAAGCAAAGAGTCATATTCCCGGTACCAATGGATTTATGTGTTGTGAATGATTAAATCCAATGCAACCATAGATCTCAATAGTAGTATTAATGGATAATATTAAATATTTTTTATTCAATATATTAATAGTTAGTAACTATACTATACAGTACTGTACATACCTGTGCTGTATGCACTGGTAATCAATTGTGAGCCACAATGAACCCAGGGAATATTGTTAATTTATTTTATTTTTTGCTAAAAATTGCATACATAAATATTTTTTATAATATAATAATAGTATTTCTATTTTGTTTATTATGTATTACAACATGTCTACTATAATATTCATTAGTAATTTCAATATCAATTAACTTTTGATAAATGATTATTTAATTTTTTTAGTTTTTGTCAATTTTTTGTTGGTTATTTTATTTGCTGCCCAAATAAACGACACGTTTAGATCATACTCACAAAAAATCAGTCCAATTGGCTAATCTAGTATTGTGTAAAGAAAAAGTAAAATAATAATAATAATAATAATAATATTAATAATACAATATTTAATGACCAGTAGATTTTTTATGTGATCCAAAAAACATTAAATATATTATTGTAATGTATTTTTTCTCTTTGTATAATATGTTTGTAATGGTATATAATAATAATAATACATAACTTTGTTTTTTTTAATTGTAGTGTAATTTATTAATAATGCGTTTTGAATATTAAAAGCTATATATATATATACAGTATAATATGTAATATTTATACAATTTGATTTTTTGTGATATTATATAATACATAGTGTAGTGTATTTAGCATATAGGACCTGCAATTATTATGTATTGCAAATTATTTATAATATATTAGGACAGGTATTATTTATTTGATATTTCAATATGCATGTATATACCGTGTATATATACAGTATTTATATGTATTAAAAATTAAATATAAACCATAAAATGTTTTATTTTTCTTGTTGTGTTGCATTATTCTAGTATATAATAAATGTGTATATATTCAATGTTTTTTTTTGATGAGTTTTATTAAAATATATTTTTTAAGTGACATTATTTTAAATGTATATCTCGTTTTTAATTAATGCGTCAATTTAATTTATTTAATTTGTTTTTTTTTTGTTTTTTTTTGTTTCATATGTATATAAATATATTATTTTTATTTTATAGCTTAGTTTTAGGAAAAATAAAAATTTATGAATAATAGTTTATCGTTCAATTATATTAATTAAATATTTAATAAAAAAAACTTTTTACTTACTTTAAAAGCTTTATTTAATTATATTTAATTAAAAACTTTTCAATTTAAATGAATGAATGACTGAATACTATTTAATGAGATGCTATACATTAACGTTAAGTGAAACTCAAAAATGTAGCTCTAATTTAAACTATAAAACTAACTTTAAAATTAATAATAATAATAAAAAAAACATAAAAATAAAGTGCTATAATTTATATATCAAGTATTTTGTAATACACATTCTGTATTTATAAAACTTTAGATATAATTTATATAATAAATATATTTATAATTTTATAGTACAAATGAGAATACATTAAAAATAAATAACAAAAAAATAATATAAATACGAAATATACTCTACTGCATGTATTTAGAGAAACTATAATTTATAATATGATATACAATATATCATTAATCTAATGATAATGCTAATCTAAAATTAAAGTAAAATTTAATATTATTAGTATAAATTATTTTTTTTATAGTATCAAAAAGTTATTTTATATAAATATATTGATATATATATATTCTAACCAATAAAAGAATAGATTAAAATAAATTAAAATAAATTAATGGGACTATCAGTTGTTCGATGGCGACGGTATAGTACTCTTGAGAGGACCAACTCCGGGCACAAATTCATCGGTACCGGTTCGCTTGGCCGCATAGGACTGTCCATATTGAGCGTCTTCTTGAGGTCCAAATTTAGTTCCCTGTTTGAGCGCTTCCAATGACTTGACATGAGGTGCGCCCGGCTTTTGGTCGATATCAACAATTGTCGGTCCTTTGTATTTGTCTTTAGGTTTTTCTCGTTTTCGGTTGTGATCTTTAGGTTTGTTCTTAAGTGGCGCCACCGGAGGCGGTGGTGCCGGCGGACCCTTTTGATGTACACCCTTACCGGGCTTATTGGGGGGCAACACTGCCGGCCTCTGTTTGTTATGTTTCCTGTTGTTGTTTGCTTCGATGTCGTGCACCTCTTTGACGATCTGTTTATTAAGTTTAGCCATCTTTTTCTTGTCTATAAATGTGTCAAACATTTCATGTTTGCTGAGCATACTTTCCATTTCGGTCTTATAGTAGACACAGGCTATTACACATCCGACAGCACAGCAAATGACAATAATCACAACTATTAGAAATAGGACGCCAAGTGCTTCCAGGAGTGCCATCAGATCACAGAAAGAGAGTCAACAATAGATCAGTTTATAACAAAAACAAAATGATCTTAAAAGACACAAATAAATGGTAAATAATAGTAATAACTAAATAATAATTTATATAAAAATAAGTTTTAAAATTCAGACATAATTTTCAAATATATTAATAATCTCGTGAATTACCAGTAAATACAATATTAAATTATGTACTTTAAGTTATTACTCTATTAATTATTGTAATATAATATTGTATAATTTATAACATACAGTGTATGTTAAATCATATGCTAAATCAGTTTATTGATAATTTATTAAAATCTTATTTTAGTATTTTAAGTAATCAAAGGTTTTGAATAAACAAAAATTACTGTATTTCAAAATGTTTTTTAATAATAATAAATAAATAAAATGTGTTAAGAGTTTATAAATTATAAAAGTATTTATTTTAAGTACAAATAAAAAATAATTGAATAATAATTTCAATGTAATTTATAATGATAAATTAAATATTTAAAAATTATAATCAATATTATGCTAATTAATAGTTTTATATAAGAAGGCGGTCAATCGATCTTGAGCGGCGTATTTTTTGAATAACTTTTGAACGGTAAAAGATAATTTAATTCTGTAAAATACATTTAAGAATATCATATCGACCTGACTTAATATACACGAAATCACAAAACTAGGATGACCAGATATACAAAATATCGGGACCAACGAAAGACACTATGCTACAGGTCAAACTAAAATTGATAAATTTATTATGATTATGAAAATTTATAGTCAAGAAATAATAGTTTAACATAAAAAAGAATCATCAAAATCGGATTGGTAGTTTTGTTTTTATGGCTTATTAAGTTTGTCATAAATCATATTATATAAAATAGTCTAAAATAAAAATGACGTCATTTATGAATATTATATATTTATTAGATGATATTTTCAAATATATTACTAATTCTAAAAACGAAATTTTAATAACTCGACTCGTTTTCGAAATAATCGAATTTCAATATAAATTATAATATCAAATTACAATAATGTGATTTATATTGAAATTCGAATATTTCGAAAACTAGTCGACATATTAAAATTTCGTTTTTAGAATTAGTAATATATTTGAAAATATCATCTAATAAACATATAATATTCATAAATTACGTCATTTTTATTTTACACTATTTTATATAATAGGATTTATGACAAACTTAACAAATCATAAAAACAAAACTAGCAATTCAATTTTGATGATTCTTTTTTTATATTAAACTATTATTTATTGACTACAAATTTTGCCTGTCATAATAAATTTGTGAGTTGTAGTTTGACCTGTAGCATAGTGTCTTTCGTTGGTCCCGATATTTTGTATATCTGGTCATCCTAGTTTTGTGATTTCGTGTATATTAAGTCAGGTCGATATGATATTCTTAAATGTATTTTACAGAATTAAATTATCTTTTACCGTTCAAAAGTTATTCAAAAAATACGCCGCTCAAGATCGATTGACCGCCTTCTTATATATATATAATGAAAAATAATTGTCGACAAAATCTATTTGATCTAATCATTAATCTCCTGTTCTTTAGCGAAATCGATGAATATCTGTTCGATAGTCTTCTGACTAAAACTGTATTCTTCTATTGAAGACATGGATTGTCGCAGATTTTCGAGGAATGAAAATATTTTGGACAACGATTGGACCGATTGTTGTGGGATATCATAAATAAGACGATTATTGTACTCTTCTTTCAATGAAATATTAGTAAAAAATGATTCAATTGTTTGCTTAAGTTTTTGACCAAATGTGTGATCAGTTGTATTAGAAACCCATTTAATCTCTAATACATATCCGGCGCCGTATTTATTCTTTAAGTGTTGTACAGAACCGATACACCGGACGACACCCTTAATCATAATCGCCAGTCGTGTGCACAGAGCGTCCGCCTCTTCCATAGAATGAGTGGTCAGTACTGCCGATCGGTCGGTGTTTCGTTCAAAAGTCGATAGTATTGTACTCCAGAGGAATCGTTTGGCTGTAATATTGATTGATTGAACAAAAATTGTTTTTTGTTTTTAAGCACCAGTTTCTAAACGAAAATACTGTATATTCATACCTTTGGGATCCATTCCTGTGGACGGTTCATCCAATAAGACTAGTTTCGGTCGACCTAATAGTGACATTAGGTAACAGAGCTGTCAATACAAAAAAAAAATTAGTTTTACTCATAAAATATTTAAAATATTATTTTTATGATAACTTTTCGTTTAGTGCCGCCCGAGAGATGTTCAACTTTTTTATCGTAATGTTCACTGATCTTCATGTTTTCAATATAACTATTTAGAGTTTGATAATCAAAATAATTGAATCATAAAATTATTTAATTAATAAACTATTAATTTGTTGTGTATTACAAATCATACCTATCGCAGACTAGTTTGATTTTGTTGTTAGGTATGCCACGAATAGCTGCAATGAGATACATGTGCTCTCTGACGGTAATATCGGCCCATAGAGAGTCATGCTGTGGACAGTAACCGATTTGCTGAAACACGTGCTGATCGCTGGCCTTTACTATATTTCCAGCGATAAACACCTGACCCGATGTCGCCTGTTCTTCACAAATAATAATCTTCAAAGCGGTTGACTTACCGGCACCGTTTGGACCCAATAGGCCAAATATATTACCCGATTCGAGTAGTAAACTCATGTTTTGGACAGCCGTTTTGCAGATCTGCCGACACTTACAGCATTGGCACTCCCAGTACTTCTTATGTAATCCATTTAGTAAAACAATTGGTATCTTAGTCTAGAAAATCATTAATATTTTAGTGAAATTTTAATTTTGAATTAAATTATTCAAACAAACAAAAAAATTAATTTAAAAAAACCTGTTTTGTTTGAGATATACTATTATTATTAGTTAAATACTGATTAACTTCTAGCCGTTCCTGTTTGACATCATTGTCCTCTTTATCCGACGGTCGGACAGCCGGATCCTTTGTGCTGTCAGTCAGAGTACTACTGTCGCCACCAAATCCCAGAGCACTTTGAAAACTTTCGCCAGTTTTTAGTTTGTCAACAATTACTAACGCTATTGTGTAGACAATAATCGTAAAGATTAACTGTTTAAAGAAAAAAAAGTAATGTTAAAAAATGCAAAATACAATTAAAAAAATTAGTTATAATTAAAAAATATTTACTCCAATAAATGTTATATCAATGTTTTTGTCCCAATCAAAGTAGGACATACTGGCTGCCCGATCATTGTACCCATGGTGCTGTAAAAATACTATTGCTAGTTTTGTCTGTAAATGTTATATAAATAATTAAAAATAAATATACACTACTACTATACATATGTTACATAAGGTATTACAAAATTATTGACATAAATAAATGTTTATAAAATTATTATTAGTAGTAKTATTATTATTACCGATGCTAAGTATAATAGAAAACCAAACGGCACATAGAATGGCCAAATAAAACAAAAAATTTGGTGAAACACACGGGCCATATGGACGTCGTGTACTATACACACACCCATTATAAATACACAAAAATAAGTTGGCTKTTCATTCAAATATAAAAAATAATTAATTAATTAATATTAATAAAAAAAATTGTTTACAATAATAATACTATAATATTATTATAATATGTATTTGTGATTTAGAAATGTTATATTTAAAAACAACCATTATGGATATGAGAGGCATAAATGCACGCGCGAGATCGCGTTTGTCAAACATGTGTATCCAAACATAGCACGCGAGTAGCGATGCCGGCATAAACAATAGGATCATTATTATGAAACAGATTATCGCCTCCGAGTCCACCAAGAAGTTTACTTTCAGTACAAATGTTACCAAAATCAGTATACAAAACATCGTCAGACTGTAGATCAATAGATGGCCGACCAGTGTTGCCGTCCAGTAGTGTGAGATGCCGAGACCAAACACCCGTAACAGTGATTTAATTTTAAACTATAAAAAATTTGTTTTTTTAAGGATAATGTTTGTAAACTTATTATATAAATTGAAAGTTTAGATTTACCTCTCTGTCCTCTACCACATCCGCTGCCAATATGGGAGCGATATTCAGGAAGACTAGACCCAATAGTAGGATATATATGGTATGCGATGTGTTAAACAAATTGGATCCGCTATTGATTAAAGATAACGGATAGCTGTATGTATTTATTGACTGCATTTTTGTCGTCTTATTTGACGACATATAACTATAGTAGAGATTTGTCATAAGATTCTGTAATATTGGCAACGAGTGTATGTATGTATCGTTGTATAAAAAGTCCCATTTGATTGTCGATGCATTTTGAAATGCGGTAACATCTACAGCCATATATGTGTCGGTCATCGACGGTAGGCTAAAATTGGTCACAAATTTCGGTGTAATATCCAATCGATTGATTAGAGATATAAAGGTGGTGTTGTCCATACTGTGGCCCGTATTGTTGAGCACTGCGAGTCGTTTATCTGATCCATATATTGTGGGCTTCAGTAGTAGTGGTTTTAGCTCATCGTCCGATGCAAAATAACGGGAAACAAAATAGCCGATCATTATTATAAATAATGGTGAGAGGATAGTGGAAGCAGCGGTTACAGGATTTCGGATGATTTTCATGACACGAATCTTAAGGTAAGCAATGAATGTCTGGAAAAAGTTTGGACTCAAATCTTTTACATCAATCATCTCGAGTGATGTCGGCTTTGTTGCTGTCGATACACCACTGGAACTGTTGTTTTGTTTATCTGTTGTGTTCGGTTTGGATTCCGAGTCTTCACCAATCTTGAGAAAAACTTCCTCCAGACTGGACATCGAAATACCAAAACTTTTGACAAAACCATCCGGTTGTGTGCTATTCTGTTCTAACGATTCGAACAATTTCGGGAACAATTGTGTCTCAGATGGTGGCAATAAGTAAAACATTTCGGAATCAGTTTGTCTTTCTAGCTGTGCTTTTGGTATGTTTTTATTTACAACCAATTGGTTTACGGAATCGACAGGTGTATCCTTTTTGATGTCGACAGTCAAATGATAGCCAATACCAAATCGCTTCTTCAGAAACAGCGACGAACCACAACATCTTAACTTTCCTTTTGCTATAATTGCTTTTCTATCGGCCAACAGATCCGCTTCATCCATAAAATGTGTGCTCAAAATGATAACCCGATTCTTCTTATATGACTGCAATATAGACCAAATTTGTCGCCGCGAGTACGGGTCGACACCACTGGACGGTTCGTCCAATATTATAATCTTCGGATCGGCAATCAGTGCAATGGCGACACAAAGTTTACGCTTTTGACCGCCGCTCAGATTGACGGACGCAATGTCGCGATTTTCATACAGTTGCAGATCGGTTAGTAATTTCTTTATTTCGCTATTCATTTTGCTTGTGTCTATGCCTTTGATTTGAGCAAAAAACTCCAAGTGCTCGATAGCTGTTAGATCATCAAACAGTATGTCCTGTTGTAGACAAACGCCAAACATTTTGCGCAAATTATACATATCAACCGAATCTGTTATATTGTGACCATAGATATAACCGGTTCCCGATGTCGGCTGTATGTTTCCCACCAACATATTGATTAGAGTCGACTTTCCGGCTCCGTTATGACCCAACAGACCAGTTATTTGCGATTCGTATACAGAAAATGATAGATCATTGACAGCTGCGACCGCTTTTTTGCCATTTCCGTAGACTTTTGTCAAATTCTTGATATTTATGACAGATTTTCCTAATAAGTCTTTCGAAATTTCTTCGACATTCGAATTGTGTTCGGCCGTAAACTCTTCATTTGATGGATTCTTTGTGTGTCCAGTGGTCGATGGAAACCAAAATGATTTCTTGAGAAAGAAACAAATCGATTGTTTTGGTCCAAACTCTCCTGGAATTACTTGATCCAAATAGATGGCTAAAAATGTATATAAAACTATGTCGACTAACAGCATCAGTAGGGCTGAGCCAAGAGAAAACACTGGATCATCAAACAAATTCCCGAAAACACTGTCCGATGAACTATCTATACGTAGCATCTATTGGTAATATACCATTGATGTTATATTTGTTGCTAAAAAATAATAACATACCGCTTGGACGCCCAGTGTAAAGGCAACGGGAGATATCAGTGCCAACAGATACTGTACTACTGGACTAACCTTAATATAGATCAACAATATGTATACTCCTCCGGCGAGTAGTGTGAATATCGATGAAAATGAAGCGGCAGTCTATGTATTGTATAAATGTTTTATTAATAAGACATTTGACTACTACTCCCTTTCCTATCATACTATATACCTCTTCTTTGTTGAAAAGTGGACTCCAAATGGCAGCCATAATGGTAAGAGTAGTACCAAACATGAACATCAGCAAAAATATGATAACAGGATTGATAGTTAGGGTGCCAGCAATATATAGTATTGCCGTTATTATGGCACTGAGGATACAAATAATTATCGATTGGACAGTTATCCAGCCGACCCAATAGACAGTCATTGTCAGTCCCATCATAAACATGGCTTCTTTAATCTTGCGCTGCTTTTCCACCACAAACATTACCGTTAATATAGAAACTAACGGCATAAACGTCATGCACAGGTAGCTCGGTATTAACATTTGCATTACTGATCCGCCGACAAACTTGGGTCGAGGATATACTAATAGATTGGCTTTAGGTATGACCGCATCCGACGTGTTTAGCAATAACTGAAAGCAATTAACAAATGTTTGTTGTTTTTTAATTGTAATCATTTCATCAGATCATACATTAATGATAGCCGAGTCCACTACTGTTTGAGCAAAACTGAAATCGCTGTCTAAGTAATTGTGTTGACACTCAAGTAGTTTAGAAATATTATGACAATTACCTACAAAAGAAAAATGTTTACCAAAATTTAACCACAAATTATCAACAATCATTATGGGTTGTACTACCCCACCCCAACCACCCACCCTCTCCCCTCCCAGTTATCCCATAAATACATTACCAACACTTCCAATAGTTTTCAAATGGTTGGGCAATGAGCTATAAGGCACTCGTATCGTATAACTTATATTATTGGGTGATGAAGTGGTGGCGTTTGCATAAAAAATAATAGCCAAATAAATTGTATTACGGGTTGACCGAAATAAATACCGTTCCAACTCATCATTAGTATGAAAATGTGTCGATAAAACAATGTACTTATAGTCCTGAAAATTAACAGAAAAATAAATCAATCAATGTTTTACTGTAATTCTGTTATTATTAGTTTTATTAATATAACATTCAGTTATTTGTTAAAACAACAACAAAAAGTTTGCAAACTTTAAGAACAGTTTGTAATTTTGGGATCAACTGTTTTTCAAGTGTCTTGTTTTCGATAATCAAATACCAAACTTTATGCATCCATAAGAGCTGCCAATTGACGCCCGCAAGTTGTGGTCTGTCAATGGGCTCGTGTGTGGCACTATTAAATGAAGATTTAAGAGACACGATAGCAATCGTCATAATTAATGGGAAGAGTATCTCCTATTTTGTTGGAGGGCATAATAATCATCATCAACAACAACAATGAGAATAACAATAATTAATTGCAATATTATTTCAATAAATTAAAAAATGGACGGTTGTTTGGTCCAAAAGACAACTGATACCAACCATTGTTGTGCCATCGTTGCGAAGTTTAATCCATATGTTACGCTTGATTAGTGCCCGAAGTTGTTGCCACCAATTGGATTTGCGGTCAATCATTTCACCAATTAATATATATTGTATAATACTACCGGTAAATATATATCACAGATATATTAAAATATTAAATTTTAAAATACAATAAAAAATAATAGTAAAGTTTTCAGCACTTGAAGACAACAACAAAATAAATGCTATTTGAATAATTAATATTTGCGATCGTTATTTAATTAACCGTTAGTTAGTTTTAAAAATAGATAAATAATAAATGTTTTGTTTTTTAAAAAATTTAATTCAAATTAAAATCAATTCAAAATACTACCGTAATTTTGCGTGATAACAACAATAATAACTTTGAATTTAATTACACAATAGAAAAACATAGGATTACTGTACATCAAAATGTTGTCCCGCGTGTCCTATCCTAACCTAAACACAAATTTTAAACTAAACATAAAATATATACAAATAAGTTATAACGAGACAAGAATTTTGGACATAAAGCTGAGAACAGTCAAAATGTTGACTACCGTAAAGTGTTAACCAGTTTATGATAATATAAAATATCTTCGATTATGATTACGACCGCAATTACAAACAAGTGATACCAAACAAATTAATCAATTATAAAATATATTGTAATTAAATTTTATTTGAATTAAACAATAGTTTTTATTAATCAAACGTCCCATTCAATGGACTCATCAAACAATTTCTGCGAATTTGATGTCACTTTTTTACCATCATTTGACTTATGCTTCTTAGTCTTAGGAGTTGTCGTACTCTGTTTAGGTGATGTCCTACCCTTTGCCTCATCTTTGATTGTTTTTCTTTTATCTTCATTTACCAGAGAACTAGTTATTGTTTCCGATTGTTTACTTGTTTTGCGCACAAACTCATCATAAGTGATCACTTTGTAGACACTATTGGCCGATGTTTTCAACAATGATTTCTTGATTTTATCGACATTTTTCGGATCCTTTAGTGCACACAAAGCACTGGTATCACTGGTCCAACCGATCGATACGCCACCGAATGCCGAAAACAAATGAAATAATTCGTTAGTTCGCCACTCCTTCGGAAATGTCACGTAAAACACATGACTGCGATCGGGAACTAGTTCTTCGGCGCCCATATTATAGAAGTGGTAGTCGTGACTGTAGATCATATTGAGTTTGTTTTGGTAGTCTTGTAACAAAATCTGATCAAATCGTTCAATCTTGGGATCGACTAACGAACCCAAATAGCCAACCAAACCGACAAAACAGAGACCAGTTATGTAGGAATCATAACCGGCTTCGTGAAGAGTTTTCCCCTCACTATAGACACCGTTTTTCAAATGAACTAAACTCGATGTCATCTCAAACGGCGATGTCTTGAGGCGCTCATAAAGATCTCCTAAAGCTATAATAATAAGTAGAAAAAGTTAACAAAACAACTAACAAGAGTTCATCATTTTATCAATTAGTTTACCCGTATTATCAATTTTGTCTTTAAATGGACCAAATGATGAGATATGTTTCGTATCGTAAATAATGGGAAACAAAGAGTGAATCATCGCTTTGAATGTCTTATAATCGGTGGGCAATGGTTCGATGAATTGGTTGAATGTATGCATGAGATCCAACATCACATTGTGTCCGATCACCGGTTTCTGGTATTGTATAATCATTTGAATCACTTTCGTAAACCCAATGGCTTCAGTCAACGCTTCAGATTCTTTGCGCTCTTTTTCCAGTTTATCTATTTTGCTGACAGAGATATATCTATCCGAAGAGGTCGGCGATACCTGTATTGTCTTGATTTCAACTGAATCGCTAAACTCTTGGGCTTTGAGAGACTCATAGATCAGCCGACGTTTGAATGCATGACATGGACTCAAGTCGATAGTCTTGTGCGTGTCGTCAGCGATAAATTCTTGCACTTTGGACAACATTTCGGCTACAAACTTCTTGTCCTCATCGGTTACGGCCGATGTAGACATTGGCGACGAATTGACAGTTTTGTTCTGTTTTTTTGCCGCATCGAAGGACTCTTTACAAAGCTTGGCTTCGGCGTCGTTCAGGTAAGAGATGCCATCGATAATCAATTTGTTAAAATCAAAGCCATTGTTGGCCAAGAATTGCAGTGACGATGTCTGAACTGAGAAGACTCGGTCGCCCATAGCTTTGTTAATTGTCGGCGACTTTTGTGGAAATATATAGAAATTATACGAATGACAATCATATTGATAACCACCGGTATTAGTGTCGGCGCCATTTGTGGTGGTATTGGTCACAGATTTCTTGAAACACGTGAGTCCAAACTGAATCAGATTAAAGCCGGCAATACTTTGTCTCAGTTTGAAGTATCGCTCATCAATTGTGTCCAACAAATTAAGCGCTTTTGTGTCCATACGCCGCAAACCAGTCAACTCGGTGTCAATGGTCAGGAAGTCGGCGTCGGCTATGATAGCTTCGAGTTGACCGATAACTTGTAAAAAGTTATGTCGCGTGACGTCCATTGATGTCTTTCTCCAGTTAGTTGTGGTCTTTACAGATGATGATAATGGTATGGCATTAGTGACCGCTGCCGATGTGTTGGTGTTGTTGTTGTGATTATGACGACTGCGGCGGTTATTATCGTTGTTATGATTATTATTGTGATTACTATTAATAATATTATGTTTGCGATCACATGTGTTATTATTGTCAGCAAAACGTTTATAATGACTGTATAGTAGTGTCAACAGTGAACCCATAGCTATCTATTATTATTATTATTAGTTATTAAAAACATATACAACAAAAATCAATTGATTAAAACATTTATAGCTGCAAAAAATGTTTGCATCATTTTTTTCACGGGTATTAATAATGACTGGTCGGCTATATTATCACTTCCCGATTGATTTTGTTGTTGTTGTTGAAGTCCCGGCTCTCTCTCTCTCTCTCTCTCTCTCTCTCTCTCTCTCTCTATAAGTGTTGTACTGTATTGTTATGTTTGTATTGCGCTTCTCTTATACTTTAATATAACGGTCACTAAAATAAATAAGTATTAAATAATATTATTTATACATTAAATACAGTACTAATAATAAAGTTAATAAAAAATAAATAAAAAGTTTTTTCTGTTTACAGTTTATTAATAGAGAGCATCACTTATGCAACTAATTATTATTTTGTTTGTTTTCTTTTTTAAAAAAAACTTTTAACTGTAAGTAATGTTTGTTTTAAAATACATTATGTAATATAAGTTATAACGTAATAATTTATAATATTTAAAATATAATAGTATTATATTAAATAAATAATAATATGATATTAGTTATACAGTAATATTGGTAATAAAATAATAATAAATGTTAATACAAATATTAATAACTAGTTATTAATATGTTTATCTATTACACTAATACACTAGAAATTTATAGACAAAATTATTAGACAATTTTAAATAATAATTTCTTATTATTATTTATTCAATTTATTATTTTATTTCAAAAAATGTCAATTTAATATTTAAATATTTATTTAAACTTCGTACTTATTTGAATAGTTATAATAATAATAATATAATATAAATCTAAATTATATCATACAAATAGGAAACTTAAACCAAAAAAATATATAATTACTGAGAATATGTATAAACTTTAAAGTTTTAAAATTATTATAGTAATATACGGTATAAATTTATACAAACAAAATAATAATTAACAATTATCAATATTATATAAATTAGTAAAAATAGCTATAGAATTTAGTTTAATCAATGTGTTTTACTAATCATCAGGTGCAATTAACAAAAATTTTGATGAAAAATAATAATAATTAATCCAATTATGTTTACAGTACAGTAAATAATTAATAATTACGGTAATTATACAATTATTACAGTAATATCATATATAAAATAATTCAATTTAATTTAAAGCTTTATTATGTTAAACGACTTTTTTCATTATTTTTAAAATAATTTTTACGATATATTAATGCAATAMAAATGGTTTAAATTATTGAAACATCAAATAACAACCAATAAATCAATTTATATTTTAAAAAACTAGTAAAACAATTATCAAAGCGAGTGAAATGTCTAACATATTGTCCTTCAAGTTGTTGTCATTAGCTAAGAGTTATCCCTCAAGGATAACATGCCGTACCCTTAATAACAACCCCTTATTTTATGACCAAATAAACATACTGTTGAATCAATCAATAATGAGTTCAATATTATTATTATTACAGTATTATAATTATCGAAAACCACATTCATTGACATTAATTTAATAAAATTCATAATTAAAAAACAATTAATAAATAATAATAAAAATTGATTGACATTACAAAATGTGTTTCAATAATTCAAACCAAATATATGCATATAAAAAATAGTCGCTTAATATTTCAAATAATAGTATTACAATTATATAATTTATAAATACGTAAAAAAATTATCCAAAAAAATCTATCCGACAATAAAATCAGTCTTTTGTTTGAAACCTTTTCTTGAGTTCACCGATCAGTTCTTCACGTCTGACAACAGTCTGTATGAAACATAAATTAAAAAACTTATTGTAAAAAAGTATTGTAATAATAATAACACATCAAATGAGGTCAACTAATATCAGACAAACAGATAATTATTATATATATTCATAAAAGAAAACAACAAACAAAAACCCCATAATTATAGTAAATAAACAAAAATTAGACCAAAAGTTCACTCACCTCTTCTCTTGTCTTAATATCTCTCATCTTAACGATACCGTCTTTGAGTTCACTTTCACCAAAAGTAACGGCAACAGCAATACCTTTTTGTTCGGCGTATTGGAACTGACTCAACGGATTTCCTTTGTTCTTCATTAGATGCTCGGCCCGTATGTCTGAGTCCCAGAGTTCGACCAATATCTTCATTCGTTCTTCGGTCATATTCTTTCCCATCGATATTACCATCACTTGTGTCGGATAGGCATTCTCGTCGATCATCTTTTTCTCGATGATGGCCAGTATCCTTTCGATGCCGATACTGACGCCAACACAGGGAACTTTAAACTTTTTCGAATCGGCCAATAGACCGACCAGTGTGTCGTAACGGCCACCGGCGGCAATACTGCCGCATTCGTACTGTTCTTCGGTTAGCACTGTCTCGTATATTACGCCTGTATAGTAGTCAAGACCGCGTGCAAGACTCAAATCAAATCTGACCACTTCTGTCAGCTTAAATAGATCGCAATAACGGAACAACAGTTTCAATGATTCCAATCCCTTCTTGGCTTTTGGATTAGCGCCCAACTCTTCGCCCAGTAATCTGTCCATCAGTTCGATGGAGCCGTTCAACTGTACGTATTCGCCAATCTTGTCAGCAACCGATTCTGCCAAACCTTTTTCTCCGGTCATTTCTTTCTTAACCTCTTCCCAAGAAGCCTACCGTTAAAAAATTACGGAAATGAGTATATCTTTTTGTGTAATTTAATGTAAATTATGATAAAACAATACTTTATCGAGTTTATCGATTGCAGAACAAATTGTCTTGAATTTATCGGCGGGAACTCCGCACACCTCGAACAGACCTTCGAGTATTTCCCGATGATTGATCTGTTTATAACAAAAATAAAAAACATGACCCGATTAATACACCATTTAAATAACATTCATCAATGATAAAATCAATTATATGTTATTACTTTGATGAGGTAAGTACCGATTTGGAGGCCATTCAAGATTTCCGATACAACGCGCAAACACTCGACATCTGCCAGCATCTCATCGAAAGTACCGGCGATGTCAAAGTCCTAAACATATCAGACATTAAATTTAGTACCATATTTAGTGGCGATAATAATCAAGGAGATTAATCAACTAACACACTGATAAAACTCCCGAAAGCGCCCTTTGGTCACGGATGGATTGTCCCGTCGGTAAACCTTTGATATCTGGTACCTCTTCATCGACAGTATCTTGTTTTGGGCCAAATATCGGGCAAACGGTACGGTCAGATCGTATCGAAGAGCCAACAGTTCTCCACCTAAACAAACAAACAAAAAGTTAGAAATTGATGTCCAAATGTTTGCGTAATCATCGGTAGCCCATACCCTGATCAGCCAAATCGTAGATCAGTTTCGAGTCTTCACCATATTTGCCGGTCAGCGTCTCCTTCAGTTCGCAAACTGGTGTATCAATTTGTTGGCCGCCGTGGCGTTTGAAGCACTCGTTGATAATACCGAACACCTTCTCTCGTACGGCCAACTGATGTGGTTCGTAGTCTCGCATCCCTTTGGCCGTCTTCAGCGTAAACTTTGCCACATTGTTAGCGGTGGTCATCTTCAGCAGTGTATCGGCGGTTGCCTTAAGCATACAATTTACTATCACTTTGATTGTAGTTATGTAACCCTTATCTATCCAATCCTATTGTTGAAAAATCCCGTTTATGGATCAGTTTCGGCGATAAACCATATGATCCGTCAAATATTGAAAGCACTCTCACTATTGACTACACGTGTGTTTGCATTGGAAATGTTTGCCATTCATTGCATAATCAATAGTCAAACACAACAAAAGTTTGTATTGAATATTGAAAACTCAATGCTTTTACAAAATTAATAATTATAGGGAGCATTCACTTAATACGTCCAAATCAATTTAAACTGTACAGTGTATGGGTGTTAAATTATTCAATACGTATGTAGTAGACAAACCAGTTTAATATGTATAGTGTTTTATTTAAATTGAAATAATCTGGACAATAATCTATAAATATTAAATAAATATAAATAATAAAGTTAAATAAATTATTCAATTTTATTTATTGTAATATTTTAATTACAATAGACTACACTCAATTTTATGGATTATAATAAACAAAAAAATTTTGCTAATTTATTTTATTTGAATTTGGTCACCATTAGTGCCAATAATTTTTCACTATACAGTATACAACCTTTTCAGGAATCCCGGGACAACCCTATTTGTAATTGTGATCAATGAAATAATTAACTTAAGTTTTTTGTTTGTTTGTTTCAATGACCCATTTTTTACAAGTACTGTAATTACCTCACGTTATGAATATGTTTCAATTTTATTCAAATTAATAGAAAAAATRATCCAGTTAATTTGCTGAAAAAAATTTGCCTATTTTTTTATTTTTAAAAATCAATAAAATTATGGCAACATGTTTTTTTATTACCCTTATATAAACTTATATTTATAAGTTTTCTCTCTAAAAAAATGTTACATCATTTTAAATAATGCTATTTGTTTAGCACAAAAATATAATATATAAAAACATATTTATTAATTAAAAAAAATTATGAAGTATTTAAATAGTTTCAGTTAAAAAATTGCATTATATACTGTATATAATTATAATAATAATTTTTGTTAAAATTCAATGATTCTGTAGTAATAAATTAGTCATTATTTTTTTAAAAATATAATAAATACTAAAACAATTTTGTTTTTAATGTGATTACCAATCAAATATAGTTTTTTTTTATAATAACAACACCGATTACCATTAATATATATTATCACCGATTGATCACTGATTTAATTGGACATAATTTGCAGGAAAGAGGCCAACTTTATCGCGACACCGGCCCCTCCACCAGCCCTCGTCGATCATCTCAATATCGGTAATCAATTCTTCGGGATCAAAGCTAATCTCATCGAAATCTGCCGCTTCATAATCATATAGTGCAACAGCAGTCAATCCCTGTCCTCCTCCTCCTCCCGATGGCTGACTTGTGGTGGCTGTTTCGGTCACCTTATTATTATTATCACCAAAATCTTGAGCTTCAATTTCTTCATCATCATTATTGATGGCATCCCTATTGTATGTTTGTTGAACCGAAGACGGTTGTTGTTCGGCCGCCGATTGTCTTGATTCCCATTTGGTGTCGTCGTCTTCTGGTGGCGACTCAATTCTAGTCATCGAAGCTCTGGAATAGTCATCATTGGACTTGACTACGACGACCGGCACTATGGGATTATCCAATTTTGGAAACACAGATATACCGATTTTGTTAACCCTTGGACTGGTCAACGAATCTCTATTATTGGTCTCATGTCTCACTTGTCTTTCCTCCTCATCCTCTTCATCGTCATTGTCTTCAATATCACCCCTACTTTCCAATTCGATTTTCAATTTTATTTGTCTGTCCTCTTCGGCTTTCTTAGCGGCCGCACTCTCCTGTTTTTCTCTTTCCAATCTTCTAGTCCTTTCCTCGTCAGCCCTTCGTTTAACTTCCGATTCATCATTTTTAGCCATATTCTCAAACCTGGCTTTCAAACTGCTAGCACTTCCCTTAGAAACTGCCGGCCTATCAGTAGTAGTCGTCGTACCATTATTTTCAACTTCATTTGGACCCCAACTATGTGCCGATTTATCCACTCTATCGGACTCAACACCAAACTTTCCGCCAAATCCACGACTCGAATCCGTCTGTGACGAATGTTTCTCAGTTTTAGTCAACTCATCCCATCCGTGAGCCAACTTGTCTTTACGATCGGTTTGGACGCCGTATTTTCCGCCAAAACCTTTCGAGTAATCCGTCTGTGACTCGTGTTTCTCAACTATTTCTTTATGATCCCAACCCAGCGCTGATTTGTCCACCCGATCCTTTTGGACGCCAAATTTGCCGCCGAAGCCGACCGAATGATCCTTTTGCGATTCGTGCTGTTGAAGCTTCTCGTGATATTCCCAGCCAACCGCCGATTTGTCCACCCGATCACTTTGGACACCAAATTTGCCACCAAATCCGACCGAATGATCCTTTTGTGACTCGTGTTGCTGTAGTTTCTCGTGATATTCCCAACCAACAGCTGATTTGTCTACTCTGTCTGTCTGAACACCAAACTTGCCGCCAAAACCAACCGAGTGATCTGCCAATTGGTAAACAAATCAGTTGATTACCGTAACTTTTACCGTAAAGTCCAAAACACGTACCCAATTGTGACTCATGTTTCTCAGATTTTTCGTGATAATCCCAACCGACTGCCGATTTATCGATACGATCTTTCTGGACACCAAATTTACCGCCGAAGCCAACTGAATGATCTTTTTGTGACTCGTGCTGCTGAAGTTTCTCCTTGTAATCCCATCCGACCGCCGACTTGTCCACCCGATCCTTCTGAACACCAAATTTACCACCAAATCCAGAAGAATGGTCTGATTTTTTTCATTACAACAAAAAAACCAAAATCTCTTACATTAGTGGACACAAAAATAATTGAAAAAATATTTAGATGTCTATACCTTTTTGTGAGGCGTGTGCCGCAAGTTTTTCATGATAGTCAAAGCCGACGGCAGACTTATCTACGCGATCTGTCTGTACACCAAAAGCACCGCCGAAACCTTTCTTGATGTCCTTTTGCGACTCGTGTGCATAGTTTTCCCGTATCTTTGCGTCCTCTGTGGTAACCTCTTCGCGTAGTTCGCCAATACTAAGATATAAATTAGATATAGATTAGGTATAAGTAAAATGTAATTATCAATTGATTGGCAATCATTAGATGTCCAACAAAAAAGACTTGGATGTCGTCGTCACTCACTTGATAGCACCGGCCGTACGGCCCGAACCACCCCATCGTTGCTGTTGTTCGTCGACATCGTTCTTATGGACACAAAAAATATAAACGGAAAAAATATTATATAATAAATATAACAATAATACGCAAACAAAGAGCTGATCAACTGATAAGATAACAACAGAGTATTATTACCACAAAGTCGGGATCAGTTTCCCAATCGTCGTTGTCGTCATCTTTGGACGCCTGGCGACCACTTTTAAGTACTTGTGACTGAGGTCCAGATGATGCCAATGCTTTCCATGTGGCCATTGTCTATACGGGCGCGAGGTTGGGATCAGATGAGGTGATGATAATAAACTGAAATTTAAAAAAACAATACCACAAAAAAATCAGTGAAAATATTTTTTGATGACAACTATAATCACAACAACATTGAGTGTTGTGTTGTATTGACTGCAATGCCATACAAAACACGCCCTAATATACTGTAATTCAAATAAAAGTTGTTCACAAAGTTATTATGCAATCATTACTTTATTATAATAATAATACTGTAATAATAACTTTTTATTGATTAATTCAATATTAATTAATTATTATTTCAATATAATTTAATAATTTATTAATAACACAATTATCATTTAAAAAAAATTATTTATATTATAATTATTAGTGTCTTGATTTCCAACTAAAAAAATTATTTTGTCGGTTCAACGCTTATAACTGGGACTTAGTATGTCCACCGAAGTTGACCAGTGGACGCTATTTCCGAAATTTTATTATAACTATAAATAACTATTTGTTGGGTTAGAAACTATAAAAACTTATAAATAATTATTTCATTGATTTTGAAAAATATAAGCATTAAATTGTAAAATATTGCACAAATATATGTAAAAACAAAAAGTAATAGTTATATAAATTATATAAAATGTGTAAACTGTTAATCAACTCATATTACTTTTTTAACAATAGAAATAATTAGTTTATTTATATAAATCATTTTTGTAAATATGCTGAAACAAGTGAATTATATATCAGTTGAAATATTTATAAGAAAATAAATAACTATTTCAATAACTATTTGGCTTTTTTGGCAATTATATACAACTATTTAATACAGTTTAAATAACTATTTTAACAACTATTTGACTTTTTTTTAGCAACTATTATAACAACTATTTAATAGAGTATAAAAAATTATTAATCAATACACTAATGATTATATAGGATAATTGCATTAATAGTACTGTATTAATAAATTTTAATAAAGTGATTCATAGACTTACATAAGTGATTGTTAGAGTTATTAGTGTAATATATTTATTTTTGATACACTGTCCCGGTATAGGTTTTATATAATTGTTTTTTTTTGTATATGTTTTTAATATGACTTCCCGTATGGTTTGTCTGTATCTGATAAAATTGTTTTTTATTAAATTAAATATTCATAATATTATTATTTCAATATTTATTAGTTTTAATATTCTGTTAATTAATTAGTTTTCCATAAAGAATATTCTATTATTATTTTATTTATTTATGATTTTATTATGTATTAATATACAATATACTGTATAAATATTATTAGATATAATATTGTTAATAATATGATGTGTAACATATATTTTTGAACATTTATACTGTATTTGTAAAAACGTTATTGAATTATTAAATTATACAGTATAATTATTATAAACTAAAATAGGTTTTAATTAGAGCAAAATCAATTATTCAATAAAATTTATATTAAATTTTATTAATATACAGTATATAATGTAATCGAAATATTAAAAGTCACGAATTTATTATAATTTATATATATAATATAATATACAGTAATATAAATATTTTATAAATAAAATAAAAATTTGTTTCTCATGTAATGTATTATACAGTAATATATTGATATTAATACAATATAATATACAATATTAAATGTTTTATTTTAGTTCACACAATAAAATAATAAATATTAATAACAATTTAATGATTTTTTAAAAAGTATTTCTATTAGTTATAAATTATAAGTTATTATTTTTTAAAATTAACCTTGATAAATGGGTCATTTAAAAAAATTATTTAACTTATTTAAAATTATAAAGTATTTATAAATAGTTTGTTTTACTTTAATATAAAGTTGTAGGCAATGTTATTACTATGGTAAATTTTAAATAATTATTACAGGTCCACACACACACCTCCCTACCCTCCCTATATCTCAAACTAATATAACTAAAATATAAAAAACAGTCAATACTTTTTAAATAACAATAGTCTCGTATTAATATGTAAGTGATTTAATGTTATTTGATTGCATGCATTACTAAAATGTATTTAGTGGTTCCTTAATAAAAACTAAAATTATAAAAAATTTATAAATATTTTTTTTTTAAATCTCTAAATTGCATTAAAAATGTTTTAAATTATAATACTTTATAAAAGAATAACAAATTATGGAAAGGGATACTAAAAACAATAATAATTATACTTCGGGTTCATCTGAGATATATTATTGGTCTTATGTTTGAATCCAATCCTCAGATAATACAAACCATTGATACGATTACTCGATTCAAATGGATTACAAATCAAGAGATCGATAATATTATTACAAAATTTTTCAGAGATTGCAATCAATAGACAAACAAATATTATATGCTATTAATTATAGATTTTTTTGTTTATCTGTTTGTTTGTTTATATAATATAAATAATATTAATATCGAAATATATTTATAAATTAGATATACTGTATATTATATTAGAAATTTTGTTTTCATAATTATCTGTATTATTATATTTATTAATAATTTATTGATTTAGTTAATTATAAAATATTGTATATAAACTACTAATAAAAAAATAATCATTAATAATTATTTCTGAGAAAATATATTTTTAAAATATATACATATGATTACTTACCCAATCATATTTATATATTTAATTTTAGTTTAAAAGTGTTAAACTACTTATAACACTTAGCAAAAGTTGAGATAAATAAAAATAAAGTTTAACTTTTATATTTTATTTATAAATATMWATATATGTTTTATAGTTTATTAATAAAATATTTCGATAACAACTTATTTCTTATCAAAATATATTTCAACAAAAATTTGCTGTCATTTAATATTATTAAAGTTTTAATAGTTTTAGTTAAAGTTTAATATAATAATATTTATAATTAAAAATGTCAAAAGTGGTTGAAGAGATAAGAAAAATTTGATTACTTTTTTTATGTGTGCATATATAAACAAAATTTCAATTAGTAAATCGCAAATTTATATTCAATTTTGATTTGTCTAATAATAATAATAATTGTGTGAAAAATATGGATTTCAAATTATTATTATTTTTAATTTATACTCTATTCTCATTAAATGGTTTGTTATTTATTTAAGAAAAATGTTATTTTATTTCTATAATATTAATATATTTAAAAAATAAATAAACTTTAGGTAAAATCAATGCTTATAAAGAGGCGTCTGGTTATGTAACGGTACGACCAGATGCTCACATGTTTTGGTGGCTGTTTTACGGCAATACTGGTGCCAATGATAATGCCGGCTCAACTTTGCCACTTGTTATATGGCTTCAGGGTATGGATTTAATGATAACTTAAACTAAAGTTATGTAACTAATCCATAATCTACAAACTAATATTCAACTTATAGGAGGTCCGGGTGCCAGCTCTACCGGGTTTGGTAACTTCGGTGAGATTGGTCCGCAAGATGTTAATCTAAATAATAGGTCGACTTCATGGATCAAATATGCAAACCTATTGTTTATTGATAACCCCGTGGGTACGGGTTATAGTTATGTCAGCAATCAAAACGCTTTTACTAAAAATAATAAACAAATAGCTGTCGATTTGGTTACTCTAATGAAAGAATTCTACAAAAAGTTGCCGGAGTTTGAGGTAAAATTTTTTTTAAAATTTTCAATTGAAATCAATTATAAAATTTTTAATCAATTTGTTTAATAATGATAATAATATGTTTGTCTTTGATTAGTCGACTCCATTATATATATTCAGTGAGTCATACGGCGGCAAAATGACTGTCGGTTTTGCTAAAGAGCTGCATCAGGCCATCAAAAACAATGAGATTAAGTCTAACTTCAAGGGCGTAGCACTGGGAGACTCGTGGATATCACCTTTAGACTCAACCTCTTCGTGGGGCGATTATCTCTATTCATTGGTAACCATGAATTTATTGATAAAAACTATTTTTGTAAAAACTAGAGATCTAATCACATTTATAAAAAATATATATTTTATTCATGTAGTCATACATTGATAGCAACCAAAAAAATCAAATCGATTCATACTCTAAGAGAATAAAAGACGCCCTAAAATCGGGTGACGGCGAGCGGGCCACAAACCTATGGGCCACTACCGAGGGATTGGTTGGATCGTTAACCGGCGGAATCGACTGGTATAACGTATTGCTCGACACACAAACTGTGTCGCGACCGGCAGTTACCGCAGCAAAGGTCAAGTTGTATAATAGTTTGGCAAATGTTAAGAACTCGGCGCTCAAGTCGGCTATTGTACGACAATTGTCTGTCTATTCCAACGATGATTTAGATAGACTAATGAATAGTGAAATTAAAAAGAAACTAAAGTAAGAGTAATTGAATCAAATTCATGATTGTTTGTAATGTATAATATCTAACTATTATATTATACTATCCACTCATTACTACATCATTGTCTATAGTATACCATCGACTGTGACCTGGGGTGGACAGTCAGGACAAGTGTTTAGCGCATTGAGCGGCGATTTTATGCTACCCGTTGTCGATGATGTAGACTATCTGTTGAATAATACCGATCTTAAAGTAGTGGTATATACCGGCCAATTGGATCTAATTGTCGACACTATCGGTACGTTAAATTGGATGAGTACACTAAAATGGTCCGGATTTCGCGAGTTCGATACCAGTCCACGACATCAGTTTGGAGGCATTCATTCCGGTTTTTATAAGACATATAAAAATCTGTCGCTATATTGGATCATCAAAGCCGGTCATATGGTTCCCTCCGATGCCGGACATACGGCACTGCAAATGCTTCAAAAAGTTATTCATAATTAATAATTTTAATACTGGTTTAAATTTATTATAAAAAAATTATAAAATAAGTGAAATCAAATTTTAATAAAAAAATTAATTTATTTGTAACTTACTTATCTACTGTATAATAGAAACTAAAATTAAATAAAAATTATAATTGCAATATTAAAAAATTACTATTTGTATTTATAATTTTCATAAATATTAATAAATAAATACAGGTAAAAAATAAATATAATAATTTAGATATAATAATACTGTATAATACTACAAAATATTTAAATGTTAATTTTGAAAGCCTAATTTAACTAATAAATTTTTAACAATTAAATAAATATGTATTGTATCTACTATATTATTGTATATATTATTGATTAAAACCATTTAAAAAATTATTGCAGTATTAATACTAATTAAATTGCTTGATTGAGTACAATAAGGTTAACATAAACATTGATTAACTTATTGATTGGCAAAAAACTTACTAATAGATTATAAGCTAACTGTGCCACTATTCAACCTGTAGTACAGTAGATACTGTACATGGATAAAGTAAATATAAAACAAATGAAATACTTTTTAATCTATATATATATTAATAAATTATATTTTTTAAATATTTTTGATAATTTATTTTTATCTAAAGTTTTAATAATAGTATTTATAATAAGAAACATCAAAAGTTGTGAACAGAAAAATATTTTTTGATTATTGATATATACAATATATAAGTAACCTTTTTTATATAAAATTCTTAAATTACAATTTTTTAATTATTTAATTAATTAATTTTTTAATTTATATTTCAAGTAAAAAATGGAATTTAAATTAGTATTGTTTCTATTTTATACAATATACTTATTGAATGGTTAGTTAGTTATTATTTATCACTTTTTTAATTTAATATTTAAAAAAATATATTTTATTGCAATTGTAGGAAAAATCAATGCATATAAGGAGTCGTCCGGTTATGTAACGGTACGACCGGATGCCCATATGTTTTGGTGGTTGTTTCAAACAGATTCAAATAATAATATCACTTCCAATTTACCACTTGTTATATGGCTTCAGGGTATGATATCTATTAATATATTTTTAAAAAATAAATAATTTATTACTTATTATTCTATATTAATTAAATAGGAGGTCCTGGCGGTAGTTCCACCGGATTTGGTAATTTCGGTGAGATTGGTCCACAAGATGTTAATCTAAATAATAGGTCGACTTCATGGATCAAATATGCAAACCTATTGTTTATTGATAACCCCGTGGGTACGGGTTATAGTTATGTCACTAATAATGATAGTCTAACCAAAAATAACAAAGAAATAGCTGTCGATTTGGTTACTCTAATGAAAGAATTCTACAAAAAGTTTACCAATTTTGAGGTAAAATTTTTTTTAAAATTTTCAATTGAAATCAATTATAAAATTTTTAATCAATTTGTTTAATAATGATAATAATATGTTTGTCTTTGATTAGTCGACTCCATTATATATATTCAGTGAGTCATACGGCGGCAAAATGACTGTCGGTTTTGCTAAAGAGCTGCATCAGGCCATCAAAAACAATGAGATTAAGTCTAACTTCAAGGGCGTAGCACTGGGAGACTCGTGGATATCACCTTTAGACTCAACCTCTTCGTGGGGCGATTATCTCTATTCATTGGTAACCATGAATTTATTGATAAAAACTATTTTTGTAAAAACTAGAGATCTAATCACATTTATAAAAAATATATATTTTATTCATGTAGTCATACATTGATAGCAACCAAAAAAATCAAATCGATTCATACTCTAAGAGAATAAAAGACGCCCTAAAATCGGGTGACGGCGAGCGGGCCACAAACCTATGGGCCACTACCGAGGGATTGGTTGGATCGTTAACCGGCGGAATCGACTGGTATAACGTATTGCTCGACACACAAACTGTGTCGCGACCGGCAGTTACCGCAGCAAAGGTCAAGTTGTATAATAGTTTGGCAAATGTTAAGAACTCGGCGCTCAAGTCGGCTATTGTACGACAATTGTCTGTCTATTCCAACGATGATTTAGATAGACTAATGAATAGTGAAATTAAAAAGAAACTAAAGTAAGAGTAATTGAATCAAATTCATGATTGTTTGTAATGTATAATATCTAACTATTATATTATACTATCCACTCATTACTACATCATTGTCTATAGTATACCATCGACTGTGACCTGGGGTGGACAGTCAGGACAAGTGTTTAGCGCATTGAGCGGCGATTTTATGCTACCCGTTGTCGATGATGTAGACTATCTGTTGAATAATACCGATCTTAAAGTAGTGGTATATACCGGCCAATTGGATCTAATTGTCGACACTATCGGTACGTTAAATTGGATGAGTACACTAAAATGGTCCGGATTTCGCGAGTTCGATACCAGTCCACGACATCAGTTTGGAGGCATTCATTCCGGTTTTTATAAGACATATAAAAATCTGTCGCTATATTGGATCATCAAAGCCGGTCATATGGTTCCCTCCGATGCCGGACATACGGCACTGCAAATGCTTCAAAAAGTTATTCATAATTAATAATTTTAATACTGGTTTAAATTTATTATAAAAAAATTATAAAATAAGTGAAATCAAATTTTAATAAAAAAATTAATTTATTTGTAACTTACTTATCTACTGTATAATAGATAGAAACTAAAATTAAATAAAAATTATAATTGCAATATTAAAAAATTACTATTTGTATTTATAATTTTCATAAATATTAATAAATAAATACAGGTAAAAAATAAATATAATAATTTAGATATAATAATACTGTATAATACTACAAAATATTTAAATGTTAATTTTGAAAGCCTAACTAATAAATTTTTAACAATTAAATAAATATGTATTGTATCTACTATATTATTGTATATATTATTGATTAAAACCATTTAAAAAATTATTGCAGTATTAATACTAATTAAATTGCTTGATTGAGTACAATAAGGTTAACATAAACATTGATTAACTTATTGATTGGCAAAAAACTTACTAATAGATTATAAGCTAACTGTGCCACTATTCAACCTGTAGTACAGTAGATACTGTACCTGGGTAAAGTAAATATAAAACAAATGAAATACTTTTTAATCTATATATATATTATATATATATATGTATATTAATAAATTATATTTTTTAAATATTTTTGATAATTTATTTTTATCTAAAGTTTTAATAATAGTATTTATAATAAGAAACATCAAAAGTTGTGAACAGAAAAATATTTTTTGATTATTGATATATACAATATATAAGTAACCTTTTTTATATAAAATTCTTAAATTACAATTTTTTAATTATTTAATTAATTAATTTTTTAATTTATATTTCAAGTAAAAAATGGAATTTAAATTAGTATTGTTTCTATTTTATACACTATACTTATTGAATGGTTAGTTAGTTATTATTTATCACTTTTTTAATTTAATATTTAAAAAAATATATTTTATTGCAATTGTAGGAAAAATCAATGCATATAAGGAGTCGTCCGGTTATGTAACGGTACGACCGGATGCTCATATGTTTTGGTGGTTGTTTCAAACAGATTCAAATAATAATATCACTTCCAATTTACCACTTGTTATATGGCTTCAGGGTATGATATCTATTAATATATTTTTAAAAAATAAATAATTTATTACTTATTATTCTATATTAATTAAATAGGAGGTCCTGGCGGTAGTTCCACCGGATTTGGTAATTTCGGTGAGATTGGTCCACAAGATGTTAATCTAAATAATAGGTCGACTTCATGGATCAAATATGCAAACCTATTGTTTATTGATAACCCCGTGGGTACGGGTTATAGTTATGTCACTAMTAATGATAGTCTAACCAAAAATAACAAAGAAATAGCTGTCGATTTGGTTACTCTAATGAAAGAATTCTACAAAAAGTTTMCCAATTTTGAGGTAAAATTTTTTTTGTTGAAAAATTAAAATGTATTATAAAAGTTAACAGAAATATTCCTAATAATTAAAAAAATATTTTGTTTGTAATGACTATTAAAATGCTTAGTCGACTCCATTATATATATTCAGTGAGTCATACGGCGGCAAAATGACTGTCGGTTTTGCCAAAGAGCTGCATCAGGCCATCAAAAACAATGAGATTAAGTGTAACTTCAAGGGCGTAGCACTGGGAGACTCGTGGATATCATCCACTGATTCAGTCGATTCGTGGGGCGATTATCTCTACTCATTGGTAGTTAAGATTTGACTGATTACTACATATCCTATTTGCCATAACATTAGAGATCTAATAACAACATTTCATTTTATATATATTGGTTGTAGTCATACATCGATGGTAATGAAAAAAGTCAAATTGATTTGATCGCTCAGAAAATCAGAACCGCCGTGGAGTCGGGTGACGGCAATCGTGCTTATGAGCTCTGGTATGATATAACTGATTTGATAACTAAGGTTACCGGAGGTATTGACTGGTATAACGTATTGCTCAATACGGATACTGTATCGCAAACGGCAGTCTCGAACAATCTGTACAAAAGTCTGGCCAATGTTGACAACCCGGCACTCAAGTCGGCTATTGTTCAACAATTAGGTGTTTACGATGACGAAGATCTAAACCAACTAATGAATGGTCCGATTAAGAAGAAACTTAAGTTAGTAGTCATAATACAAGTACAGTATAGTTGATAACAAATGTCTTTTTTATTATATGTTTATACAAACAATATAGTATACCATCAAATGTGACCTGGGCTAAATTATCATCACTAGTATTTGAACATTTGAGCGGCGATTTTATGCTACCCGTTGTCGATGACGTAGAATATCTGCTGAACAATACCGACCTTAAAGTAGTGGTATATACCGGTCAACTGGATCTGGTTGTCGATACCATTGGAACCTTAAAATGGATGCATTCACTAAAATGGTCGGGAAATCGTGAGTTCGAAACCAGTCCACGCCATCAGTTTGGAGGCATTCATTCCGGTTATTATAAGACATATAAAAATTTGTCGCTCTATTGGTTTATCAAAGCCGGACATATGATACCCGCTGATGCCGGACATACGGCACTACAAATGCTTCAAAAAGTTATTAATAATTAATAACTTGTATATACTGTTTAAAATAATATATTAATTAAACATTTTAAATACTTTATAAATTGAATATAATCAAAGTTTAATCAAATTGTTAAATTTTTAATACTGTATATTATTGATTGACATAAACTTGTATTAAATAAAAATAAAAATTTTCTAAATAATAAATAGTTTTTAAAAATTTATAATTACAATAATTAAATTTACGATTTGTACAAATTGATTAAGTAAATTAATTTTCAATTGATATTTTTTAGTTGTTTATTTTATTTGCTGTCCTAATATAGTATTTTTAAATTTTATTTGTTAATATTTGATTTAAGTTTTCTGATTAATTTATACAAAAATTACTAATCATATTATCGTTTAACTATTTAAAAGTTGCAATAATTTTTAGAAATTATTTTGTATTTATTAGATTTATTATTAATATTCAGAAATTTGTTTGTCTTTTATTATGTAATTATTAGTACTAAACACTCAACTAATTTAGTTTTTTCCTAACTTTATGATTGTTATTTATAATAATTTTTTTTTTAAATTAAAAATTAGTTTATCTAGTCAATTTTTATGTTTGTAATTATAWWTATTAGAAATATATTGATAAATAATTTAGGATTAGATGTATAAGTTATATACTTACATATTAATATTTAATAAATATAGTAAATACTATTAAAATATATATTTTTTAAAACTGAGTCCAATCAAATAATAAAAATATTAATTTTGAAAAAAATAAATTATAATTTTTAAAATAATTAAACAGTTTTATTAATTCAATTCAATAATATTAATCTATATTTTATTGATTAAAACCATTGAAAACACTTATTGTATTTTACTTTTTAGTACAACAAGGTCTACGTAAACATAAATTCAAACTTAAATAATTTATAAGATAACTGTGCGTTTGCACCTATAATAATAAATACTTGAGTAAAGTTATTATATTTTTAAAATCAGTGAAAGTTATCTATGAATATTGTTTGTTAACATTTTGATAACTTTTTCTAATCTAAATATTTAATAATAATTTTTTGATAATAATAATATTATTTTAAAATTTATGAAAATTAGATTATTTATTAATACAATGCAATTCAGACAATGATTCTGAATATTATTGTTTATATTTTGTATATATATATACTGTATATATAAGCAAACTTTATATTAATAAAATCGCAACTTTTTTGCAATTAATTGATTTAGTAAATAATATTTCAAAGTGAAAAAATGGGTTTTAAATTATTATTATTATTTCTCATATATACTATATGCACATTAAATGGTTTGTAAATTACAGTATACTGTATTTATTTTGTATACTTAAAATTTGATTAATAATTTATAGGTAATATCAATGCCTATAAGGAAGAGTTCGGTTATGTGACGGTACGACCTGATGCCCACATGTTTTGGTGGCTGTTTTACGCCAATACTGATGCTAACACCAATGCAAACTCAACTTTACCACTTGTCATATATCTTCAGGGTCTGATCTAATGTTATAATAAAGATTTTTTAAAACTTCAAACAATTAATACTTTAAATAGGAGGTCCGGGGGCTACCTCTGCAGGATTTGGTAACTTTGGTGAAATTGGACCGCAAGATGTTTACCTAAATAATAGATCATCGTCTTGGATCAAATATTGTTTATTGATAACCCGGTGGGTGCGGGCTATAGTTATGTCACTAATAATGATAGTCTAACCAAAAATAACAAAGAAATAGCTGTCGATTTGGTTACTTTTATGAAACAATTCTACAAAAAATTCCCGGATTTTGAAGTAATAAAAACTGTTGTTTTTTAATAATTAAAATGTATTGTAAAAGTTGACAAATATATGTTTGCTTCTCTGATTTGGTTAATTAGTTGATCCCATTGTATATTTTTGGCGAATCATACGGCGGCAAAATGATTGTCGGTTTTGCCAAAGAGCTGCATCAGGCCATCAAAAACAATGAGATTAAATGTAACTTCAAAGGCATAGGACTGGGAGACTCATGGATTTCATCTGTTCACTCAACCTCTTCGTGGGGCAAATATCTCTACTCAATGGTATCAATGAGTCTCAATTGATAACACTCTTTCCATATCTATTTATTTATTTTGTTGTCTATCGTCTGTAGTCATACATCGATGGTAACCAAAAAAATCAAATCGATTCTATCGCTCAAGAAATTAAAAAAGCAGTGGAATCGGGTGATGGCTTACTGGCCACTGAACACTACGGTTCTATTGCACAGTTGGTCGGTAACCTAACCGGTGGTATTAACTTATATAATGTATTGCTCAATACGGAAACTGTATCGCAACCGGAAGTCATGAACAAGTTGTACAAAAAGTTAGCAAATGTGGAAAACCCGATACTCAAGTCGGCTATTGCACAACAATTGGTCATTGATCCGGAGGACGATTTAAACAGACTAATGAATGGTCCGATTAAGAAAAAACTTAAGTTAGTAGTCATTATAATGTGTTACAAGTTATTGATAAAACAATGTATATTAATGTATCTAAATTTTTAATATTTTTATACAACCATCTATTATAGTATACCATCAAATGTGACCTGGGTTAGAATATCTCCAATAGTATTTGCAGCCTTAGCCACCGATTTTATGCTACCCGTTGTCGATGGTGTAGACTATCTGTTGAACAATACAGACCTTAAAGTAGTGGTATATACCGGTCAACTGGATCTGGTTGTCGATACTATTGGTACATTAAATTGGATGCATTCGTTAAAATGGTCGGGAATTCGTGAGTTCGAAACCAGTCCACGACATCAGTTTGGAGGCATTCATTCCGGTTATTATAAGACATATAAAAATTTGTCGCTGTATTGGATCATCAAAGCGGGACATATGGTTCCCGCCGATGCCGGACATACGGCACAGCAAATGATTCGCAATGTTCTTCAAAATTTCTAATTTTAAATAATTTACTAAACATTAATTTATATAAATTAAATAAAAGATTATTACAATAATTGCAAATACTATATATTATTGTTAAATAAAATAAATATATTATATAAAACATGACCAATAATTATTACCGTAATATTTATTGCAAAAAATTATTATATATTTAACAAAAAAATATTACATAATTATATTTACTTATTGTTATGAAAATACCGATAATTAGGTGTGTTATTAGCAAAAAATTATTGATTAATGTTTATATTATTTATAGTACAATGTTTAAATTGTGATCAACAAACTAAATAAACGTATTTAAAAATAATGATAATTATTGTATTAAAAATTTACAAAAACAAACAATTGAATTACAATAATAATAATAATAATAATAATAATTACAAAAATGATTTACATATTATAACAAAATGAATACTTTGATGATTAAGTAGTGGTAAATGCAATCTTCAATTTCTATCACTGAATCACTCTTTAAATCGTTTACTTTCAATCTGTTGGCCATCACTGTCATCGATCTGTTCCTTCTTTTTCATAGCAACTTTCGGTGATTTAAACCAAGTATCGATTGTCCTCTGTTTGTTCACCACTTTGTTCGGTAGAATATTGTCGGCAGAATTGTTTCGAGTGTTCGACACCTGACTGGAAACCGGGTGATACTCGAGTCCGCCGAACGGAACCAACAGTTTAATTGCCTTTTCGTTGTTTACATTATCGATGTCCAGCCAATCGCGAACAGATTCGTCAGTATTCAATACGGCCGGCATTCGTGTGTGAAGCCATTCGAGTCGCGGATGTATTGGAACCGTTATGATGGCCACAGTAAACAAGCTTTCAGTACTACGATTGTATATCGCGGCCAACGGCAACAATCTCTGACCTTTCCATTCATTGTCTTCCTCTTTGTATTTCCGATTCTCTTGTTGTTTAATCCAATCGGTGTTCTCGSTCTTGAAGTCGACATTTTTTTGCGTCAAATACAAAAAGTACRGCTGTTTTGATCCGTCTTTGCCGTTGTTCTTCCACTCGAAAAATCCGTCGACTAATACCACACATCGGCGTTTGTTATTCAAAGCCGGCCGAAACATCGGCTTTTCGGTCAACGACTCGATGCGACAATTAATCGGATTAAGATTGCCACCACTATTTTGACCATCGGGTCCGCGCCAGGCGGGAACATAACCCCAGCGCATGTCCACCAAAACTCGTTCATCACTGTCTTCGCACTGCTTGTCCACCGATCGTCTGTTGACCAAAACCGGTAGCCAATTGTCGCGCGTAATATTATAATGAGGTGCGTATCCAGTGCTGTATACTGTGGACTGTTTATTGCCGTCCAACCACTGGCACTGTTGATACGGGCCGTGAGTACCGTCCAAACCGGTTGTTCGGTAAGCGGCCGCCCGAGTCATGGCCTCTCTATTTAGCGAACAATACGTTCGGCCGCACATGTCTTCCGGGGGAATGTATTATATTAGAGTACTGTGTTATTGATATTTCTGTGACCCGAAAGTTGGCCAACAAAAACAAAAGATTACCGAAAACAAACAAATACTTATAATTTGATTGAAAAAATCAAATATCAATGAAAACAATAATAAGTTTTCAAAACAACAAAATAATAATTCAATGATTCAATGCATCAAATATTGTGCAATAGTTTTAAATATAACATTGCATTGCATTGAAATATATTGTAAACATTCGTACAATTCATAAACATTGTTATATTGAAGTCTAAATTTGTTATATTTTTTATATAATAATAATAATAATAGGATAATATTGTAAAATCTAGTTATTATTTAATTAACTATTATATTATGGATTATATAAAAATATTTTTAATAACCCAACTTATATTAAAATTATCTTATTAAATTTTTAACTTTTGTATTAAACTTTTATATATGATATATATTAATATTTATATGTTACACAATTACCTATCATATAATAAAATAATAATTTTAAAATTAATAATTAAAATTATTTATAATAATTTTTTAATAAGTGAAGTAATAATATTTTGCATAATTTAATTATTATATATATATATATTATTTTTTAAATAAAATATTTTAATTAGACTATAATTATACTGTAATCGCAAACTTAACTATTAATAGATAATCATATTATTTGGGAAATATTTTAGTAAAAACAAATAGTTATATAAAATAGAGTACAGATGTATAGCATATAAAGTTTGGACTCAAATACCAATGGTTCCCAACTTTTATTACCCTCTAAGTTAAAACTATAAACTAAATAAAACTAGAAAATAAATATACTTCTACCAATTGACCTAGCATAAATAAATTACATATTTGGATATAACCCTTAGATGATTTTTATATACAGCAATTTTAATTTTTAAAGTTTAAAGTTTAAATTATTATTAATCTCTCTAGTAAGTAAAAATTTAAATAATTAATAATTAAATATATTTATAGATTAAATCATTGAATTAAAATTTTGTTTAAAATTTACTTTTTATTAATATTGACATTTAAATAAAATTTGTTTTGTATATAAATTCGATAATCATGTTATGTAAACTAATAAATATTATACTAAATGTAATTATATTTTTAACTAATCTTATTAAATATATGTATATTTAATAATATTATGTTGAATATCATTAATAAAAATTTTTATTTATATTTTTAAAAATTATATATATTTTTACAATATTATTTTTATTTTGTTTAATTTATCATTATTTAACTTTAGTATCATTACAGTATTATTATAATTATTATTTTATATTATCTCATCGTTAAATGACAAATACGAGTACTATTTTGTCAATTCATATGATTTCTATAATACACAATATATTACTAAAGATATCGACAAATTCTACTAAATATTGTTTCATTAGATAAGTGTAATAGTAATTCATTAGTATTTATAATATAAAAATTAAATTAATGTATAAATTGAATCTCTATTCAAACGGAACAATCAAATTGATAACTATTTATGGGTATAGAGAAAGAAAAATACCAAAAAATAGCTTTTCAATAGATATACTGTATATACAGTAATACAATATTATTCCAATTAATTGACAGTTTATTTAATTGGTTTAAATAATAAAAGTGATAAAAATTTTCAGAGAATAAATATGTAACGGGCCTGACTTTTATGGCCAGTTACAAGGAACTGTAGCTCAGTCGCTCAGCTCAACTTAGGTACTCGGGGATCGAATTCAGACAGTATGTCTGGTCCGATAGTATTGCAGTTCTCGTAATCACCCTTTCAATGTCGCGGTCATTTGTCTTGACATCAATTGCCTGCCGATATCTCTCATACTTCACACTTAAGACAAACTTTCACTCAATGCACACTTCAATTGATGATTAAATATATTTATTAATTACTATATTAATTACATATTAGTTACAAAAATAGAAGTATTATTTAAATTGAATGTTTCATTTGCCTTAATAATGATTGACAAGTCTATCGACTGCTTTCTTCAAGCGTAGGCAAAAGAGTAATAATTATTATAGAAATTACTTAAAATTACAAATTATTATAATAGGAAAATAACTGAATTTAGAGTAATTCATGGAAACTTTCGATAAACTTATCAATAATTCTTTCTCTCATATGACTATCCATTGACTCTGAATTACAAATCCATTAATAATATAAAGTTTAAGTTATGAATCTACGAAATATCTATAAAAAATCTAATAATTATATTCAAAAATTCAATATAAAAGTTGAGGTAATTTCGGCCCCTTTCAAATATAATTTATTGTATCAAAATTATTATATATTTTTTTGTTATAATAATACAGTAAAGTATTACAGTATAATAGTCTCTATATTTTTTGTATACATGTATAATATAGATATACGAAATAATTAAAATCTTGGAAAATATCTGACTTCATAAATCATTGGTAAACAATTTATATATTATATATATATTTGATTATCTTTTTAGTAAATATTTGTCGCATATATACGTATAATAATAATACTGTAATAATAATTAATGATTCAATTTTGTAGTAAAGATTATTATATCACTCATTCATTCAATAACTAATAGCAACAACACTAGTGTTTTCCTTGAGATTCAAAGTTAATATTTTTTCTCAAAACTTTTATTATTTCATTTGGTTTGCAAACACACATTCAATTCAATTATTAATCGTTTTTATTTATAATAACTTAATAGTTTTGAAACAAATTATTCACAATTATTGAATATTCTCATCACAAATAAATTAAACAACAATTAATATGACCCAAAAGTTTGGCATATTTTATGTGATCACCCGTATAGTGTTGGCAGTGCTGACAGCCCTAGCCATCATCGGCATCATCATCGGTATTATCTACTATCTGAAAGACAAACACGACAAAGCTATCGGCTATATTATATGGGCAGTGGTGGCACTATTGGTATCCATTACCGGTTTCTGGGGCGCCTGGAAGGAGCACTTCCTGTCGTGTATGATCTACGGTATTGTCGAACTGATACTATTGTTGGCGGGGATCAGCTTCGCTAACATGGAATTGTATACCCGATTGACACAAGTGTTTGCCGTAATCGCTGCCTTCCTGTTCTCGTTTATGCTGTACTCCAATGGAAAGATGGACTATTCAATGCCATGTAATGTATAGATATATATAGATAGTTATATATGTACAGTATGTGGGACACATTCCCACCACACTTGGGGAGGGGTGGGTGTGAGTGTGTGTTTATTTTTATTTTAAAAAATTAATTTGTTTTCCAATTTTTTTATATAATACATTTATATTAATTATAGTATGTCATCAAATATTTGTTAATAATATGTGTAATTTTTTTTATATACATCATTCAATAATATTTTTTTATTAAAATTTGATTTAATCTATATTATGTATAAAATTTTCATCATTTATTATGCATATTAATATATATTGTGTATATCATAAATATTTATATTTTAGTTTTAAAAAATGTATTAATAGTTTTGTTTATAAAAAATAATTTTTCAAAATAATTTTAAATGTTAATTCGTTAATTAATTAATCACTTTATTTTAAATTTGAGACAATTTTTTTAAAATTTGCTAACATTAGTTAAACCCTAACGCCTACCTATAGCTGATAATACATACTTTATATAAATTTAATCAACAAATATACAACTTGTGAAGTAATACAATACAAGTAAACATTTTGACATTTGATTGTTAATATTTAAACCGTTTATTGTTGTCACTGATAATTGAAGTTTTTTTTTGTAGATAATAATATAATTTGTGAAAAAATTAATATAGAAGTATATATTTATTTTGTTTTATATATTGTTTTTTATACACTAATAAGTTTAACAAAATCAATGTACAGTATATGGGTGTATAATAATAGATTGATATTATTTGTGTGGAAATATATATATATTTTTAATTTATTAAATCATTATAATAAAATACAATTAGTTTTCAAGTGTTTTATCATAGAATATGTCAAAATTCATTAAAAATGAAAAAATGATAATTTTGTTTTCTTTATCTTATCATTGTATTAATAAACAAATATTATACAATATATACTATTAAAAATATTTATTGCGTCTTTTATCAGCCAAATATCTGAAAATATCACAAAAAACTGTTTTTTTAATTTCTTAAATTATGAATTTAATTTTAAATATTGTTTAGAAATTTTTGCCGAAAATTCAAATAAATAAAGAATAAAATGAAATTTTATAATTTCTATTTTTTTTCTTGTTATTATTGAAATCTAAATGCATTAATTATTTCTGATTGCAATATATGTCAAAATTTTTAGCATTATATTAGGCTAAAAGTTTAAACTTTAAATACCAGAGCATTTGAGTTTATCAGTCCATAGACTGGGATGATAGTCATACTGTAGCCCAGTATTTTAGAGTTAAGTAATTTAAAACTTAATGGTCCACCAGTGTCCAGTCCAATTTAAAACTACCCCCACCCACTCCTTCCGCCCCAAAAAAACAGATGTTAATTTTTATGTGACTTTTTTCCATACAATATTACAGTAGTTTATTTATAATGTTTTTTATATGGTCTGTTAAATGACTTTATTAATGAGTATTTAATGATAATTTTAAGTAACTTATATATATATTGAAAAGAAAGTCTTAAATTAATTAGTAGTCTGTAATAAAACTAAACTTTAAAATACTAATTATTTGTTTGCAATTTATTTGTCATTTTTATTGCATGTAAAGCAATAATAAATATAGGATTTCAGAAATTTACAAATTGTTTTATTTTGTGATAAAAATGGACTTTTTAAAAAATCATTTAAATTGCAATATTGTGCAAATAAATAGGATTATTATGTGATATATTGTAAATTTTATTGCTTTTATGTAATATTAATGTTAAACAGTTAACATGAGACTGGTATGTAATGGTAAGATATGGTAAGGGATATCCGCCATCCAGTATATAAATGAATGGTAAAGTAAAGCAATAGCCATATATCCAATCATTCGTCCAAAACAAGTGTTTCATAGATTTCAATGATGATATCGAGACAGTGATGGCACCGATACAAGTGTTTAATATGTCTAAAGCATTGGAAACAATGGAAAAGGAGAAACTGGTCGATCGATTTAAGAAACTATTGAATGAGTATTCGACAACTAAACTGATTGCCGAAAAACACGCCGAAGATATTGAAAAACTAAAGTCTGAATTGTTAAGAAAAAACCAATCGATGGCCAAACTGAACGATATGAAAGAACTGGAGGAACAGTTGATCGATGCCAAAGACATGATCGCCAGAAAATCCATGCAATTGTCAGGTGCGAGAAAAGGTGAGAAAGCAAAGGCCATAGAGTTGGAACAGTTGAGGACAGAAATGAAAATTTATGATTCAGAAAAAGATAGGATCTGTAGTCAGCAGATAATGGAGACAAAGTTGAAATGCACTGAAAAGTTGGCCGAAATGACGTTGAAAACCGAACGCCAGAAGAATGAGTTGTTGACAAAAGTGGAAGTGTTGTCAGCAGAAGTAGCGGAACTGAGATCAGCGATGGCACAAATGAAGATCATGTCTGATGCCATCGTCGCCACAAATGAAATCAAACAAAAACAAGTGACAGTTGACAGAACTGAGAAGACAATGATGTCGTTGACGCCTATGATATCGAATAGGGAATCATTATTTCAATTGATTTACTCATTGAATAAGTCGAAGAAGGAAAAGGAGTTCCATAACAGSAATGACATCGCTGGTGAAGACACTGTTGAAAACAATGAACGCTCAGAGACTGGAGGTTCCCGAGGATCTGAATCAAAGCAAATTGATATCATTGAAATTGATTGATATTTTTTGAATCAATTGTGTGTGTCATTGATATACAAGCTATGATTTACCTGTAATAATCATTTATATAATTATAATAACTAAACATTTTTTTGTTACTCTTTTTAAATTATATACTTTTATATGGTTTGTTACCTGAGCTAACTAACCTGAACCTTGATTATTAATAAAGAAAAAATAAAAAACATAAATTTGTCTATTATTTAAAAATAATACACAAACAATACCGTTATTTAATAAATACAAGAAAAAGTTTTTAATAATTATATAAAAAATATGAAATTAATACATAAAATGATTGATATTTTTTTGTTGGTTGTTTTGGTTAAACCCTAAAACTAAATTTTAAACATTAAATTATAATAATAAATTAAGATAAAATTTAAAAATATATATATAATATTTCTTATTAGATTTAGTTAATCTAATAATAATAATAATAATTAAAAAAGTTGTCGCAATTTATGTCATCACATCAATTGATGGTATCACCAATTAACAGATCCACCAATCAATCAATTCAATTGTCAAAAATTCATTATATCATCTCATTTTACTTTCGCTTCTTGGAAGTAGGATTGTTGGCGATCTGCGGATTAATGGCATTGATTTGATGGACACGAATGCTGATCCGATTCACATAATACAAGCCAATCACCGAAAATATCAAACTGTCGACACAAAAAAAACAATTACCGGTAATTAATTGGGTATTAGAGATAAAATTGTTTATTAGTGTGACGAAAGTGGTCACCGTGTTTTCAAAAAACCTTACCACGTAGTGATGGCCACTCTATGGACACCTCCCGAGACAAACATTGCAATAACTAAACTTAAAATCACTGCAGTATTGTATATAACAAATAGGTTTAACATTAGATATCAATTTCAATTTACGTCAAATCCAATGTCCGATATTAAATCGGTAATTTCACAGACCTTCGGTAAGTTTGCTCTGAAAATGTTTGCCAAACAAAGTCATCTCCAGATTACTGATAGCCGTCAGTATCAACAAAAACAGTAGTGAACCCAAAAAGCCGGTCAAAATGGTCATCGGCTGCGATGACGACAAAAATTGCCGATACATCTGCATCGATGCCGTCAATACAGTGGACAGTGTCAACGCCAATACACACGACAGTCCATTGGAAGCAACTGGTGATGATATAAATGAATTGACAAAAAACATCCCGTCATCGGCGGTAATCCATAATAATGACAAAGACATCGATAGTTTTAATTGTCAGTCAAAAGAAAAGTGGATTTCAGATGAAAGAGAGATATCATTAAAAAAAGAGAAAAAGACATAAAACAAGTGTTAGATAACAGAAATAATGACAAATCAAAGATTTTTGTTTTGATACCCATTTCGGTGATAATGGATGTGATTAGTGATGTCTTAAGTGTTTAAATAAATAAAAAAAAGTAATTTAAAGTAATAATTGGTTTTCAATGTGTGTGTGAAGTGTTGGCCAATATTATGATGGGTTCACACATAATGTATGTCAATATTTACACACAATTACATTCATATTCAAAGATAACGTTACACTAATTATAATGAGTTAAGTGGATGAGGGGGTGATGTGTGGGTGAATGAAAGCTACTGTTTATCATATATTTGTATACTATGTTTATATAAATAGGGGGCAAATATTTTTAGATATATTTAGTTAAACTAGTATTTTGTTTTTGTATTTTAAACTACGAAAAAAACTACAGTAAAAGTTTTAAAAAATAATAATTTTTGTATATTTTAATTAAATGTGTTTTAAATTAGTTAAATAAAAAATAATTAATTAAACAAATTTTTAATTTTGTTTATTGTAATTTAATAATCAGTAATCAATTGAATTTTTAAAAATAACTAAAATATTATTTCATAAGTTTTTTATTAAATATAAATGTAGACGTATTTTATGGATCATTTCCCTGAGTGATGGCAAACAACAACGTCTATTGATATCCTTTTCCGATAGACTTGTGTTTCTCTAAAGACATACCTTTTAGTGTTGTTAATCATCACCGAAAACAATGGTAAGTTCGGTCCAATAGTGACCACCGACCAACTCGAGACCCGCTACGGGTTTCGGTAAGACTGGTTGACTCCGATAGCTAACCGTCCGATTTTATTCCATATGATTTATAGACTGCTAAACGCCGAAACAATGGTCGCGCCAAACACGGTCGCGGACACGTTAAAGCCGTGCGCTGTACTAACTGTGCCCGTTGTGTGCCGAAAGACAAGGCCATCAAGAAGTTTGTGGTCAGAAATATTGTTGAGGCCGCAGCCGTCAGAGATATTACCGAAGCGTCAGTCTATGAATGTAAGAGCAATAGAAATTTGGTGACCATTTGTGTCGAAGTGATTGCTAATTGAATTTTGTTTTTTGTTTACCGAAAACTTATTATTTTGGTGGCCACACACATACACAGCTTATCCATTGCCGAAACTGTACGCCAAACTCCACTACTGTGTCTCGTGCGCTATTCACTCGAAGATTGTCCGCAACAGAAGCAAAGAGGACCGCAAGATTAGGACACCGCCGCCGCGTTTCCAAAAGCCCGGCCAACAGAATAACGATAATCGGCAAATGCAAAACCGAAACCAACAAAAGTAAATAGTTTGCGGACAACAGTTATATAAAGATCACCGAAACATCAGATTTTTTTTAGTTGTTTATTGAGAAGTGATTACTAATTAATAAAAAAAACAATAAGAGACAAATTATTTGTTTTATTTATTTATTTCTATTGTCGGAACTAGAGACTGAAAACTGACCTGATTTTTCAGGTCAGGTCAGGTCAGGTAAAAGCTAGGGCTCAGGTCAGGTCAGGTACGGGTCCGAACACCAAAATTTTTTGGTCAGGTCAGGTCAGGTCCGAAAATTTTTTATTCATTATTTAAACGACAATTATTACAAAATATGACAATCAAACACAAAATTTATTAAATTATTATTTATAAAATAGTTGTATAAATTAAACATAAAATATTACAAAAGATGATGGTTTTGATCTAATAAATAATAACATATTAACTTTATTAGAATCTAAGTTAGATCTACTATCAGTTATCGTTAATCCCGAGTAATTAAAGTTAATTTAGAGAAATTTGTTGCGGGTATAGAATAAATAAAATTGTTTTTTGATAAAATTATTTTCGGACCTAAATAGTCAGGTCAGGTCAGGTCAGGTAAATTTGTACCCTATGTTAGGTCAGGTCCGAGTCCGAGATTTTAGGTATCAGATCAGGTACGGGTCAGGTACGGGTCCGAAACTTTTCGCTCTCTAGTCGGAACCAATCGTTTTATATAATTGTTTTTTTTGCGGACCGAAAGTAAAAAGTATGATATTTGATAATTTAAATAATAAATAAAAACAATTTACTGAAAATGATGGTTGAAATTGATTTCGTTTGTTTGTTAATGTCTTTCAATCAGTTTAGATGGTATTACTTTTGCAATTAGTGTTTCAACAAATAAATAACAAAATTATGATAAACTTTTGTTTCATTAATAATTTAATTAACACAAAATTATTGTACCTAAAGATTGAAATGACATCATAAACATTATCATCAATAGTTAGGGTTATTATCTTATTTTGAGATTATAATTACCGATAGTTTCTAATGTATTTTATTAATTAAAATCCATATTTGAGTCTCAGTCATATACTATTTATTAGTATTAATAAATTGTAATTGATAAAATATAATAAAAAAAAGTTTTGACATTTACATCAATTAATGTGAGAGTACTTTAAGGTTGACATAAAACATAGAGACTTACGTCAGATGATAACTGTGCGTTTGCACCTGTAGTCTAAACTTGAGTTTATTGTTAGACCTGGCTGTTATCAGTATCACTTAAAGTTAACTTTTGTTTATTTGTTTGACCTAGCTTATATTTAATTTAAATTTTATATTACCTGTAATTTTAACAAAGTTAGTTAATGTGTATAGTTAAAATTTTAATTACCGTTAATCAATTAATTATTATTATACTAGCTCAGTTTCTTATTAAATTTAAAAATTACATTAATTATGGATTATTTCAAATTTTAGTTCTTTTTATTATACTTTTAAATAAATTAAATCTAAAAATAATTTAATTGCATATATGAGTGTTTATGGATTAGTTTTTTGTTGTCTCAAATATTAATTATAAAATCAAACTAATACGGAAAACATGTAATTGAATCTATTAATAATTGTATGCGTAAGTTAAGTATTAAATATTTAACTGTTTTATTGACTTATATATTATTATACACTACTTATTACAGTATTTACAAATTATATTTTATAAACTCGATTACATCTATTATGATAAAAGATTAGTCATATGAATTAATTAAAATTTTATAATATTTTTGTGTAACATTTTTAATATTATTTCTACACTTTGAGAGCATAAAATAAATATAAACTTTATTTTCATTACAGTAATATAAAATTACTTTAATAAAAATAATAATTTAAAAATAGTTTATGATTAATATTATAATTACTGTAGATTATAATATTGAAAAACATTATTATGTGAAATTACATAAACTATATGCAACTTTATAGAAATAAAATTATTTGCAAAAATTTTATTGAAAAATTATTACACTTTTTCAAACAGAATATTCTTTAATATAGTTTTTTTTAAATCTTTAAAAAGTTTTACATAGAAATAACTTTAAAATCTATTTAATATCATTAATATAAAATTATATACAGGACACGCCTATCGATAAATAATAATGCAAATGTTTAGATAAAACGGTAGTTATTTTATTTTGTTATTGTTATATACATTGTATATATTTTGTTGTTAAACATTAAATTGTATTACTTTCCACATTTAAACCATTGCATAATAGTTAATAATTTTGTATATATAAATTGAAAAGTCAGTGTAAAAACAGGTTTATTATTATTATTATTATTTATATGGCTATTAAAAAATCTATTGGCTATCTATTACTAAAACAACGCCAATCATTGCACAATTAAATTGTATATCCATTACAACAATAGTAAAATATTTATTATAATAATATATTGATAATAATAACTCTCTTATCTCAAAAATGACTCAACTCTAGGCTTAATTTATATATAATATTAATATAAATGATTACAACAAAATTGTTTTATTGTTAAGTATATTCAGTGTGTTAGTGCTCTTACTATAAGTAATATTGATTTTTATTACAATGTTTATCTGAAATAATTTTCAATTGACAATAATATTAGTGGTATATATATATATATGTGTAGATTCTTGCGGTGTTTTATATTATATATAATTTATATATTATGATATATATGCCAACAAAACACATGAGAATATGAATCATAATATTCTCTTAAATGTGTTTATAGAAATTGTAACATAAATTTAAATATTGTTAATAATAATAATAGTTTTTTTTTTGTTATTGTTATTTGTTATACGAATTAAATATTAATTTTTTATTAACCTAAATAAATTGTCAAATAAAATTGTAAGTTTTTTTTTATTTAAAATTATTTATGATTTATGTTTAAATTTTTTATTATGTTCTATTATTTTGCAATCAAAATGTAATTTACAGCTATATATACAAATTAATAATTATTATTTCAAATATATTATGATTGAAAATGTAGATTTAGTTATTTTAGCTGTATTATTTTTTGTAAATACTTGAAATATATCATTTTTTTATAAACAATATATATCTATTAGAAAATATGATAAGCTAGCTTAAATACGACAATTATTATTTTGTTTTTTGTTGTTTTAATAAGCAATTAATTATTTCAATAACAACAACAAAAATTTTGATTAATTATTTTTCCAAAGAACTATTGCCAATACTAATACTAATAACTATAACAATCATTGTTTCAGTCATTGAAATTACTTGTCATCGCTGAAACTTCCACTTATCCAAACAACTATAGTATACTACCAGACAAAAAAAAACCCACCGATAATTATGGACACAGATTATAGTCAGAGATCAACTGTTTGGACACAAATCCGGGCTCTATTCCAGAGGAATATGTTAATTAAGCGCCGAAATCGGGCACAATTAATGATGGTAAGTATCATGAATGGATCAATTAAAAGAATGATGAATATAATAGTATTTTTTTATAACAATTCATACTATTGTCCACCACTTCCCATTCCTCCCTCAAAACAGGAGCTAATATTTCCAGTGATAATGGTTATGATAATATTGTCAGTAAAGTCGACAGCAAAACCAAAGACCACACATGCCGTAGATCAGCTACAATACGGTGGCAACAGTTGGTATACAGATATTGGTGGTATGGGTGGTGGTGGTGGTGGTGGTGCCAGAATACCGCCTGAGTTACTTAAAAACCCCATATATATAATCTGTGATAATAATAACACACGAGGAAGGATTATAGTCAATATTAAAAATGTGCTTAAAGTATGTATTTTTTTTTAATTGTTACGGTATTTACTTGAAGTTATGCTAAATATTTGATTTTTTTGTGTACCGATAAATCATTTTTATTTGTTTTTTCAAATACTGTAGAACATGAATATAACAGGTATTAAATTGAACACCGATTACGTGGACATGGATTCATTTAATCGTGATTATCATCAAACCAATGGCAAGAATGCTACTGTGGCTATCGGTTTTGATGTCCAAAATCTAGGAAATATCTCTTATACCATACGTATGCCTTACAATTTTGTGCCTAATGGCAAAAACAAAATGGGTAATCTTGGTAAGTAATTTAATTATACTATACTAATAATACATATTAAATGATAATTTTAAACAAAAATTATTTATTATTATTATTAGGTCAATGTCTGGGAGATAATCCATTTGTAATGAGGTGTGATTCCACCCAATACTATAGTAGTCTATTTAGTTTAATCCAAACGGTCGTCGACTCGGCCCTCATAAGTGTATGAATTTTGTGTTTGCTTTTAACTAATAGATATTAATAGTAAAAAATAATTAATTAATTATTCTGTAATTACCGGTAATTAATTTCTCAACTAAACCTAATTTTTTCCCCAACCAAATAGTTATCAAAGTCCAATACAATAGTTATACCAAAAGCCAAACTGTATGCCTATCCGCGACCCGAATATACCACTAGTGATCTACAGTGGCAGTCATTTGTGCCGACCTACCTTTCCTGGGCATTCATGCCGTCCGTATCCATACTGGCCGTAATGTTTGTGCTGGAAAAGGAGCGCAAAATCAAGGAAGGCATGTTTATGATGGGTCTGAATATGTCGGCCTATTGGATCAGTTGGGTGATTGTCCAGACATTGTTTGTCATCCTAATAAGTCTAGTCGTAACTTTGATAGTATATTTTGCCAAAATCCTAACCGTCAATCCAGTAGTCATGTTCATAATGATGTTCCTGTTTGGCACATCCATGATCTGTGTGGCCGCTCTGATCAGTCCATTCTTCAAGAAAGAAAAGGTATAGATAATACAGACACACACAGCAAATGTGTGATGAATTTATAATCATTTTGTGTCAATTGATTTACCAATTAATTAATTACTGATAAACTTATTGTTTTGGATATTGTCTTCAAAAATGATAGGCCGCCGGAACATTCGTGTCATTCTTTTCGTTAATCTCTGGTATTCTTCATCTATTGTTTGTCTATCTAGACATTGATAAATCTGTTTACTATATATTGTCATTGATATCGCCCGTTGCCTTCACATTGGGAATCAATTCAGTAAATTAATTACATTTAAATAATAATAATATATTTGATTTTTTTGTTTTTGAAAAATACTAATATATTTTTTTTAATTAATCAATAAATTATAGATCACTCGTCTAGAAAGCAATGACATTGGTTTTGATAATTTGTTTAATGATCCGGTATTTTCTGCCGGTTCTTCAATGCTTATGATGATAGTAGACATTGTACTCTACACTGTGTTAGCCATATATTTAGATCAAGTAATACCCGGAGAGTTCGGTCCAAAACAGTCGATGTTTTTCTTTCTGAAGAAATCGTTTTGGTGTTCATCAAACATGAATCGTCTGAGAAATTCATCGATTCGTGAAGAAGATCTTTGCCAACACAATCCAGACATTGAAGAAGTTACTCATGATATGAGAGGAAAGGCTGTTATTAACATTGAAAATATGTCTAAAGTCTACGGAAAAGGCAAAAAAGCGGTCACAGCTGTCAATAATCTATCGTTTTCTGTATACGAATCGCAAATAACTGGTCTGTTGGGTCATAACGGTGCCGGAAAGTCTACACTAATCAATATGTTAGTGGGAAACATACCGCCATCATCGGGAACAGCTTATATATATGGTCACAGCATAGCAGATCCAGTAGATATGTATAATTTGAGAAAAATGTTTGGCGTTTGTCTTCAACAGGACATACTGTTTGATCACCTTAACGCTGTCGAGCACTTGGAGTTTTTCGCCAAAATTAAAGGCACAGATAGTAAACAAGTGAAGAGTGAAGTGATAAGACTGTTAACTGAAGTACAACTCTATGACGATCGCAAAACTCCGTCTAAAAAACTAAGCGGCGGTCAAAAGCGTAAACTTTGTGTCGCCATTGCACTGATTGGTGATTCAAAGATTATACTTCTGGACGAACCGTCCAGTGGTGTGGATCCCTATTCGCGACGACAAATTTGGTCACTATTACAATCTTATAAGAAAAATCGGGTTATCATTTTGACCACACATTTCATGGACGAAGCAGATCTGTTGGCCGATAGAAAAGCTATTGTAACGAACGGAAAGCTAAGATGTGTCGGTTCGTCGCTGTTTCTGAAGAATCGTTTTGGAATCGGCTATCACTTGACTGTTGATATCAAAAAGGGTACAAATGTTGATCTATTGAACCAATTGATTGAGTCAAATATACCCAAAGCACAGTTCGATAGATTTACGACTTCCGAAGTGTATTATATATTACCACCATCTGAGACACATCTATTTCCTCAATTGTTTGAAGCGTTGGAACAGAATATCACACAACCGGACGGGTTTATCCAAAGTTTTGGTATTTCAATGACAACTTTGGAGGAAGTATTTCTCAAGATTGGCGAAGAAATCGAAACTGAACACCAAAACAATCGCCAGCAATACAATGGCGTCGATCCAACCGAACAGCTAAAACTCGAGTCACTCATAACCGATATACACGATTTGCGGCCAAACTTCTGGCAAACATTCAAAGCTTTTCTTCGCTTACGTTTATTGATATTCATCAGAAACCCGATGCATGTCATACCGATTATCGTATTACCGGTCATTATGATTATCGTATCGTACTTTCTGGTGAGGACGACATCCGAAAAGAACATCAATCCGGAACCAATTCTTTTAAATCCTAGTCTATATCCAAATGAAAATACATTGTTGTTTAAGAATAACACCGACTATGATATCAATGAAACGTTTGTCAAGTTTGCCCAACAATTAGGTGTGAATCCAAAATCGGTAGACAAGTTTACGTTGGTCACAACAGCCGCTACATATTTGGCCGTCAATATTACGTCATTCAAAGATATCGATCAAATTCAATGGGATTTGATTTTCAACGAAACTTACGTCCATTCTCTGCCAATCCTCCAGAATTTAATGACAAATATCTACTATCGTTTGATCCAATCATCACGAGGACAGCTAACAACTGAACCGTTCAATAATATTACTGTCTATAATCAGCCGTTACCCGAAACGGACGAAATGTTTGTCAACCGTTTCGATGTCAAAGTATTCATATATGTTATGCTCATATCCATAATGTTGGGCGCAATTCCTCCGTCAATAGCCGTGGAAGTGGTAGAAGATCGGCAGGTAATTCTCGATGATTGTCTTTTCATATATTTTACTTATACTTTTTTTTAACAATTTCATGTTAATCATCATTTTGTTGTTGTGGTCTTATAGTCAAAAATCAAAAACTTATTGCGTGTATGTGGTCTCAGTTTTCACGGCTATTGGTTGACGACAATTGTCTGCCATTTACTAGTATTTCTCATACCAGTCCTAATCATACTGATTGTCACCATATTCATCATCAAAGTCGAGTTTCTACAGGACCCGGAAGCTATCGTATGTGCTTTCATACTGTTCTTTCTGTTTATGCCGGCCTCACTACTGGCCTCTTATGTATGGCTACACCTGTTCAACAAGAAAGACACGGCCCGATCCATTGTACCGATCATGTGCTATCTGGTCAGTCATATATAAAAAATTTGTTAATGAAAAATAGTTATTTAATATAATTATCCGCATCATTTTTTATACCTCATTAGCCCGGTATGGTAATGATGATGATTGTGTCGATAGTTACGTCCAACAATCCCAAAACTGGCAAAATTTTACACTATTTTTTCAGTTTTGTTTGGCCATTCTATGTGCCCCAGGGTTGTCTACAGTTTATGGCTATTGTTAGTAGCATTTGTTGTATAATTTAGTTTATTTTTAATTAAATAAATTTTTGTTTTGTTTGTCCATAATATTTATAGACATCAACTATAAATAAGTTGTCTCCATATACTCATAAAACCGTATCGTATTTTGATTGGGATCAAAATGTTGTCGTATCATTTGTTGCGGTAATTATTTTTATTTTTTTTAGAGATATAAATAAATTACCGTAATTTTGACTTTGATTTCATTTGTATGTGATTTTATATTATTGTTTAGTTAATTATCGATATCATCGTGTATTCAATATTGTTAATTATTGCCGATAAACTAAAATCTGGTGAAAGTTTGTTGAGTGCATTGGGTTTTGATGACAGCCTTAAAGGTTTGGGAACAGTTATGCCGTCGGAAAAAGAGGACGAAGATGTACGCCAAGAGCGGAATGATGTCATTCAATGTTTGGCCAATGGTTTGAATACTAAGGTCTGTATTTAATATATTAATATTTATATAAATTTTTTTCATTATAATTAACGAAACAATTTTGTAATTTAATTGATATTTTAATTAATTATTTATTTTCTATAGAAACCAATTGTTTTACTCAATGAGTTGCACAAGAGATATGTAAAGTGGAACCCATTTAACCGGAAGAAGAATAAATCATCGGACGGCAAAATTGCCGTAAAAAATACTAGTCTAATGCTAGAGTCCGGTCACATATTAGGACTGTTGGGTCCCAATGGGGCCGGTAAGACAACAACAATGAAGATAATGATATGCGAAGAAAAACAAACGTCAGGTCAAGTGTTGATTGGCGGACACAGAGCTAAAGCTACCGATCATGAAGTGTTCAAATTGATTGGTTACTGTCCACAACACGACGCTCTTTGGAAAGAGATAACAGTGAGAGAACATTTGCATTTGATAGCAGCTATTCGTGGCGTACCCGACGGCCATATCAAACGTGTCTGTGATGAGTATGTATAACATAATTGTAGCAATTATTATGAAAATTATTAATTTGATATAATTTTAATTATAAAAATTCAGTTATATTGAAAATATGAGAATTACTGAACACAGAAACAAAAAATCACATAAACTTTCCGGAGGAACAAAAAGAAAGGTTTAACTAATTAATTAATTAATATATGATATAGTTATCAACAAATAATTAATATTTTAATTTTTGTTTTAAAATTACAGGTATGTTATCTAATGGCACTATTGGGTCGACCGAAACTAGTCTTATTGGACGAACCGTCCACAGGAATGGATCCCAAAGGTATGCATATTATGATTGAAAACTGCTATATCATAGAAACTAATATATAAATATAACTTTTATATATATAATATAATATATAAAATATATATAATTTAATAGCCAAACGCTTTCTCTGGAAAACAATTTTGTCGGCATTTGAAAAAAACGCCGACCGATCGGCAATACTGACCACTCATTCTATGGAAGAGGCGGACGCTCTGTGCACACGACTGGCGATTATGATTAAGGGTGTCGTCCGGTGTATCGGTTCGATACAGCACTTGAAGAATAAATACGGCGCCGGATATGTATTGGAGATTAAGTGGAACACAACTGATCCCACATTCGGTCAAAAACTTAAGCAAACAATTGAATCATTTTTTACTAATATTTCATTGAAAGAAGAGTACAATAATCGTCTTATTTATGATATCCCACAACAATCGGTCCAATCGTTGTCCAAAATATTTTCATTCCTCGAAAATCTGCGACAATCCATGTCTTCAATAGAAGAATACAGTTTTAGTCAGAAGACTATCGAACAGATATTCATCGATTTCGCTAAAGAACAGGAGATCAGTGATTAAAAATATATAAATATATTTATGACATAAAAGAAACAAAAAATTATTTATTTTTTTTCATAAATCTAGAAAAATGTTATCAATTTTTGTATATACTTTTATATATAATATATATATTTTAATTTATATAAATTTGTTAAATATGATACATATATTTATAAATTATTGTTAAATCACTAAAAAAATCAGATTACTATTTTTATAGTACAGTACATTTAATTATGATATACATAGTTATTTCAATACACATATCGGGTCAACCAATAAGTGGTCACAATTGGTTTCCATATATCGGGTGTTCGGGGGATTCATCAGCAAAACCTAATCGCTATTCAACTTATTCTTCAATTTCTGAACATTTTCTGTAACTTTTGAACACTTGTCCATCAATTGTTCGTTCATCTGGTTCTCCATGTCATGCAATTCACGATGTTGTTCGCGCAGCTCCTGTAGATCAGACTGGATGTCCTTCAAGTTGCCAATCATTTCGGCGCAACTCATAGTAATTGGCTGCTGATCATCGCCGCTACCCTCCTGTCCATTGCCGGTCTCTATCTGACACATACGGCTCTTCAATTGATACATTATTGAGTCTAGTTTGCAGTCGGCGTTACTCAACTATAGTGGTGTTATCATCCGTAGTCGGGTCAGGTGTGTGGTCACCGATAATAATGATAATAAAAAAAATGATTTACAATTAGTTGTGAAAATTTCAAACCAATCGGTAATACCCGTCCCCCGCACACACACCCACATAACTTACCACTGCCTCCAATGTGTCCACACAGTTGGCCATTTCGATTTTCGGTTAATTATTTGTTGCCGATATCCGTTAGTCGCCAATCGGTGACTATTTTATTGTTACATAAATACTAATAACATTGAAAACAACTGTATGTTTGAGTTTAAGCGCCAAATGTATTGCAATGTATTAGATGTCTGTTTACTAGTATTGCTATCAATACACGTCACACATAAAGCTATTCAGTCATCCTATTGGTCGATACCATTCAGACAGTAGGCGTTAACCTATGATTGTCATCGAATAGTCACTCGAAATATGATGAAAAAGGGCTTATTGTTGAATATGAGTCAAATGTTTTTTTAAACGGCAATAACTTATCAATTATATCAGTGACTCATTAAGTGTATTCAAAAGTTAAGCCCTTTTTTGACAAATCGAATGGTTCACACATAAAGTTCATTCAAATTTTTATAACTAATCAGAACAATCAGTATATAATGTTATTAATTATAGCATATATTTTATACCCCATTGTTGTTCCCATCCTATTGTAGTTGTCATCATAGATAGATATTTTCTATATTCTATTTTATTAGATTTGTTATAAGCGTAACATTGTTTACTAATTATTGGCTCAATTTTCTACATCAAAAGAGGGAGTTATTTATATATACAGTATATTTGAAGCCATTATTCGATACATAATAACGAGTATAGTATTAGTCGGCGTTTTCTATCAATCAATGAGTAGTAAAAATGTTTGGTTAAAGTGTAGACACAAATCGTTTTGAATGTACTATTGATTTGACACTACTGTACACTCACTACACTATAATACAGTACTAACTCTATTAAAACACTTTAAGTATAACTCTAACTATTAGTTAGAAACACACAGTTTGTCTATCAATACATTTTGAGTGTTAAACATATTTACCGATTGATTGTATTTAGTGACCACTTGTTATCAATTGTTTATATAGACATTGAGTTTTTGATTTGATTGGCCACGGATTAAGTGGACAAATCTGATAGTGTGTCCGCATATTAATGATCATCGCATAGAAACAATGGCACAATTACTTCCCATCAGATTTCAAGAGCACTTACAGGTGTGTCATGTCTTGTATTATATTGTATAGAGTTGTGGGCGGATTGTTGTCATCTGATCCGCGACAATGACAACAACAACTTTTGCTGTTGTTGTTGTTGTTGACCACCGATTGATATGATTGTTATAATGATTTACTAACCCGTTGTCATTTCATTTTATTGACTTAATAGTTGACCGCAATCGGCATCAATGCGGCCAACATTAGCTTCAATACGCTTACGATGGAGAGCGACAAATACATCTGTGTTCGCGAAAAGGTGGGCGACTCGGCCCAAGTGGTTATCATCGATATGGCCAACTCGTCATCGCCCATCCGGCGTCCGATTAGTGCCGACTCGGCTATTATGAATCCGCTGACCAAAGTTATAGCATTGAAAGGTATGTGACATTTTCTGCTATCATTTTTTTTGGTAAATCAATTGATTGATTAATTGATTGAATGATGATTATCATCACTACTATTAAACTGTTCATTCAAAGCAGCTATGAGGACACTGCAGATCTTCAACATCGAAATGAAGTCGAAGATGAAGGCTCACACACTGACCGAAGATGTTGTCTTCTGGAAATGGATTAATGTTAACACCATAGCATTGGTTACCGAAACGGCTGTCTATCACTGGTCAATGGAAGGCGACACTTTGCCGGCCAAAATGTTTGACCGACATACGTCACTGAACGGCTGTCAAATAATCAATTACCGAACCGATCATTCGCTTAAGTGGCTACTATTGATCGGAATATCGGCACAGGTATGTGTACTGGGGGTTGTGTGTGTCTTCATCATTATGTACACTGTGTATACTGTAATTATAATTATTAACTGGAAATACATGACACTTAATAATACACATATACTTCTCTCGACAAACAAAATACATTTTTAATAATTATAATTACATTTCGAGTTTTCTTTATATTTTATGGTCATATTTATAGCAAAATCGTGTGGTCGGAGCCATGCAATTGTATTCAGTAGAGCGTAAAGTAAGTCAACCGATTGAGGGACACGCGGCCGCATTCACACAATTCAAATGCGAAGGCAATCCTGAGCCGTCAAATTTGTTTTGTTTTGCCGCCCGAACACAGGCCGGAGGAAAGGTATGAGTATCTTATAGTATTAACAAAAAACAACTAATCTATTTGTCTACCTGTCCTCTGTCTACAATCAGTTGCACATAATAGAAGTTGGCTCACCTGTTACTGGCAATCAGCCGTATCCGAAAAAAGCGGTCGATGTTTTCTTTCCGCCCGAAGCCCAAAACGATTTTCCCGTTGCAATGCAAATGTCACCCAAATATGATATCGTTTATTTGATTACCAAATACGGCTACATTCATCTCTATGATGTCGAGACCGGCACCTGTATCTACATGAACCGAATTAGCGCCGATACTATTTTTGTGACGGCCCCGTACGACGCTACCAGCGGTATAATCGGTGTTAACCGTAAAGGACAGGTATGTAGTAGATAATTGACAAGATTTATTATTTGAACAAAAATTAATATTTTTTTTTACATTTTATAAAAAATTGAATAATTGTAGGTTTTGTCTGTCAGTGTCGAAGAAGAGAATTTGATTCCATACATAACGACAACACTCCAGAATCCAGACCTTGCATTCAGAATTGCCGCTCGCAATAACCTAACCGGTGCTGACGATCTGTTTGTACGGAAATTTAACACACTCTTTACCGCCGGCCAATACGCCGAAGCGGCTAAGGTTGCTGCCAATGCTCCCAAAGGCATACTGCGAACACCGCAAACTATTCAGCGCTTCCAACAGGTGCCCACACAAGCTGGCCAAACGTCACCGTTGTTGCAGTATTTCGGTATACTCCTGGATCAGGGACAGTTGAACAAGTATGAGTCGCTTGAACTCTGTCGTCCAGTTCTCCAACAAAATCGCAAACAATTGCTTGAAAAGTGGCTCAAAGATGACAAACTTGAGTGCAGTGAAGAGTTGGGCGATTTGGTCAAAACAGTTGATCCTACGTTAGCACTTTCAGTCTATTTGCGAGCCAACGTACCGGCCAAAGTTATCCAGTGTTTTGCCGAAACTGGTCAGTTCCAGAAGATTGTTTTGTACGCCAAAAAAGTTGGCTACTCTGCCGATTACATAAGCCTATTGAGACAAGTTATGCGTACAAATCCCGATCAGGGCGCTGGATTCGCTCAGATGTTGGTTGCCGATGAGGAACCACTCGGTGACATTAACCAGATTGTCGACGTTTTTATGGAAAGCAATTTGGTTCAACCGTGTACTGCATTCCTGTTGGACGCTCTGAAGAATAACCGACCGACTGAAGGTCCCCTCCAGACGCGACTATTGGAAATGAATTTGATGACTGCACCGCAAGTGGCCGACGCCATACTCGGCAATCAGATGTTCACTCATTACGACAGAGCACATGTAGCTCAGCTGTGCGAAAAGGCAGGTCTACTACAACGAGCACTGGAACACTATACCGATCTGTACGACATCAAGCGTGCCATTGTTCACACTCATCTATTGAATCCCGAATGGCTGGTCAACTATTTTGGTTCGCTATCAGTGGACGATTCGGTTGAGTGTCTGAAACAAATGCTGACGAACAATATACGTCAAAATTTGCAAATCTGTGTACAGGTGGCCACCAAATATCACGAACAACTGTCCACTACTGCACTGATTGATTTGTTCGAGTCATTCAAATCGTATGAAGGATTGTTTTACTTTTTGGGATCAATTGTCAACTTCAGTCAAGATCCTGATGTACACTTCAAGTACATTCAGGCCGCCTGTAAAACGGGTCAAATCAAAGAAGTCGAACGAATCTGTCGCGAAAGTAACTGTTATAACGCCGAACGCGTTAAGAACTTCCTTAAAGAGGCCAAACTAACCGATCAATTACCGCTGATTATTGTTTGCGATCGTTTTGACTTTGTTCACGATCTGGTTCTATATCTCTACAGAAATAATCTACAAAAATATATCGAGATTTACGTACAAAAGGTATTATCTAATAAAATGATAAATAATTTTTTTCTTGGTTTTAATTTATCGGTTATTAATTGGAATTATTAGGTGAATCCGTCGCGTTTACCCGTAGTCGTGGGCGGCCTATTGGATGTTGACTGTGCTGAAGATGTCATAAAACAGTTAATAATGGTAGTGAGAGGCCAGTTCTCAACCGACGAACTTGTCGAAGAAGTCGAAAAACGTAATCGATTGAAATTGTTGTTGTCGTGGCTGGAGATGCGTATCCATGAAGGCATCAACGAATCGGCAACACATAATGCTTTGGCCAAAATCTATATCGATTCGAACAACAATCCCGAACGGTTTCTCAAAGAAAATCAATTCTACGACTCGAAAGTTGTCGGTAAGTATTGCGAAAAACGTGACCCACATCTCGCCTGTCAGGCCTACGAACGGGGACAGTGCGATCTCGAGCTGATCAACGTTTGCAATGAAAATTCACTGTTCAAATCGGAAGCCCGATATTTGGTCCGTCGACGCGATTCCGATTTATGGGCCGAAGTATTACAAGAATCTAATCCATTCCGTAGACAATTGATCGATCAGGTAATTGAATTAAAATTTCGTGAAAAAGTTTTTTTTATTAGTTTGTTTCTAACTTTTTCCATCAAACAGGTGGTCCAAACAGCACTTTCCGAAACACAGGATCCCGAAGACATATCAGTAACCGTCAAGGCATTCATGACAGCAGATCTTCCGAATGAATTGATTGAATTGTTGGAGAAGATAGTGTTAGACAACTCTGTATTCTCCGATCATCGAAATCTACAAAATCTGTTGATTTTGACGGCCATCAAAGCCGACCGAACTCGAGTTATGGAATACATTAATCGATTGGACAACTATGACGCGCCCGATATCGCCAACATTGCCATCGGTTCCGAACTGTACGAAGAGGCGTTTGCTATTTTCAAGAAGTTCGAAGTAAACACATCGGCCATTCAGGTGCTTATTGAGCACATCAAGAACTTGGACAGGGCCTACGAATTTGCCGAACGTTGCAATGAACCGGCCGTTTGGAGTCAACTGGCCAAAGCACAGCTGAACGAAAATTTGGTCAAAGAAGCCATCGATTCATTTATTAAAGCCGGCGACCCGACAGCCTATATGGACGTTGTGGCCACTGCTCACCGTACGAACAGTTGGGAGGATTTGGTTCGTTATCTGCAAATGGCACGCAAGAAGGCTCGCGAAGCCTACATTGAATCCGAATTGATTTATGCTTACGCAAAGACTAACCGATACGCCGATCTCGAAGAGTTTATTTCGGGTCCAAATCATGCGGACATCTCTAAGGTTTGTTAACTTATTAGAGTAAAGTAAATGATTTTTTTATATAAACATTTTATTTTGATTGACCACTACTTAGATTGGTGACCGATGTTTCGATAACGGTCTCTACGAACCGGCCCGTATTCTCTACAATAATGTTGCAAACTATGGACGATTAGCCATAACTTTGGTTCACCTAAAAGAATTCCAGGGCGCCGTCGACTCGGCCCGAAAGGCCAACTCTACCCGTACCTGGAAAGAGGTTTGCTTTGCCTGTGTCGACAATGAAGAGTTTCGTTTGGCGCAAATGTGTGGTCTGCATATTGTCGTTCACGCCGACGAACTCGAAGACCTTATCAACTACTATCAGGGACGGGGCTATTTCGAGGAACTGATTAGTCTATTGGAAGCAGCACTGGGTCTAGAACGTGCACATATGGGTATGTTCACCGAACTGGCCATTCTCTACTCGAAATACAAGCCATCAAAGATGAAGGAACACTTGGAACTGTTCTGGAGTCGTGTAAACATTCCGAAAGTATTGCGAGCGGCAGAAAGTGCACATCTGTGGTCAGAATTGGTGTTCTTGTACGACAAATACGAAGAGTTCGATAACGCCATCATAACAATGATGAATCATCCGACCGAAGCCTGGCGTGAGGGACACTTCAAGGACATGATTACCAAAGTGGCTAATGTTGAGCTATACTATCGGGCCATTCAGTTTTATTTGGACCACAAACCAATGCTGTTGAACGACTTGTTGCTGGTGTTGGCGCCCCGTATGGATCATACACGAGCTGTCAATTTCTTTGCTAAAGTAAGTTTGGTCAGTAAATAGTGATATTTTTTTATTAATTTTAATTTAATCTGTTATGAAAAATGAATATAAAAAATTCAAAGTATAAATTCTTAATTTTTAAATAGTTTTTAAAAAATATATTTTCATAAAATATCTGATTATTTTTGTTACCAATGCATATAATAATCGTTTTTAATAATTTGTTTTTTATTTTTAAAGACAAATCACTTACCACTGGTAAAAGCCTATCTGCGCTCAGTTCAGAGCCTCAACAATAAGGCCATCAATGAGGCGCTCAACGATTTACTAATTGAAGAGGAAGACTATCAGGGTTTGAGAACATCAATAGATGCGTTCGACAACTTCGATACCATAGCACTGGCCCAACGGCTGGAGAAGCACGAGCTGATTGAATTCAGAAGAATAGCCGCCTATCTGTACAAAGGCAACAACCGATGGAAACAGTCGGTCGAATTGTGCAAAAAGGACGGCCTATATAAGGATGCCATGGAATACTCGGCCGAATCGAAACAGGCAGACGTTGCCGAAGATCTTCTCTTATGGTTTTTGGAGCGCAAAAATTTTACATGTTTTTCAGCGGTATTGTTCCAGTGCTACGATCTGATCCATGCCGATGTCGTACTGGAGTTGGCCTGGCGTCACAATATCATGCAGTATGCAATGCCCTATTTTATACAGATTACACGCGAGTACATCACCAAAGTGGATGAGCTCAAGGAACTGGTCGACACCAAACTGGAAGAGGCGACAAGCAATGAACAGAGTTCGCTGGTTTACGGTAAGTGATGGATTAACTACCGGTTCCTAATTACGGGTATTGATTGATGTATTGTTATTATTATCTTCTATGTTAGCACCCGAACCGCAACTTATGTTGACAGCGCCGGCCGGTATGATTGGCGCCGCACCCGTGGGTGGCTATCCAGTTGGCGGTGTCGGATCAGTAGGACCAATGGGACCGGGAGGAGCCCCACCCACACAGTTTTACCAGGGATATGGAATGTAGACATAAATATTAATTAAAAAACAGCACTTTAATTATTTACTATTAAATTAAGTTATAAATTATATATAATTCGATTGATAAAAGAAAACTGATTGTGTTTTTAATTCATTTTTATAATAATTATTTTTGTTTCCCCATTGATATTAATATAACTAATAAATATAATTATTATTAATATTATAAATCAGTAAATAAATAAATGTAATTTAAATTTAAAATCAAGTTTATAACTGTTTTTGTGTAAATCAATGATTCAAAAAAGTTGAAACAAAAACTACCTGTTTTTCTAAATGGTTATCCCGTAAAACTGGTTCTATTTTAGAGAGGGGTTAAAATGGGTATTATATAATTTAGCAATAAATATAATTACCGGTATATTAAATTGCATTAACTTTATTTTTTAAAGAAAACATTGCATAATAATTATAATGTTTATAAATGTCTAAAATCATAATTAAAAGAAATAGGTGGTCGCGGATAGCCAACATTAAACGACCAACGCTGGGCACTGGTATTCAATGCCAGTTTCATAGACAATATCGGATTACCAGTTGACTTGTGTTTTAAAAATTCCTCCAAAATTATCTGCTGTTCTCTACTGGCACTTTCAGTTTCAGACTGTTCAATAAACTGTAGATATCTATTGTAGGTCTGTGCTATGCCCAACAAATTAAATGACGGTGCTATTGCCGCATTGTATCCAGGCAAACCAGTCAGCACACGTAGGATAGTCTAATTAACCGGAAAAAATTGTAGATAATTAATAATTTTAATTATAACTAACAATTTAGGATATACCTCATCAAAGCCGAGAAATATTTTAAACAACTGTCCACTGAGTTGTTGCTGAAGTAATTGTAAGCTAATAATGCTATCATCGGAATACTGATGATAATTATAGTTTCAAAAAAAAAATTATTATATAATAATAAATTTAAATTAAAACTATAGTATAATACTTTGATTGCTGCCAATTGTGGTATTTGTTTGACGCCCTCAACAATTGCCTCATTTATGTTTACTTTATAAACAAACACAAAAAAATGTTAACTTAATTTGTAGTAATTTATTATTTAATTAAACTATAAATAATTTTAATTTATAAATTGAATTTAAAAAAATATATTTGAAACTCACAGTTAAGTTTTCCAACTCTTGGCGGTATATTATAGTAGATAAGCGGTGTATTGGGCGCCGCCTGAGCTATCAGTTTCATAAAGTTTATTAATTCGCCGACACTGTTGGGTTTGTAATAACTGGGCGGTAATACAGCTATAGCGCCCGAACCATTAGCTTCCGATTGCTGGGCTAAATGTATGGACTCTTTTACACACAAAGAGCTAACGTTGACCACATCCAATAGATCGACTCCTTGAGCAGTGATCTCCTGGCGCCAGGCTTTACCCAGTGATAGTCTTTCATCGTTTGTCAGACTATAACCCTCACCAGTAGTGCCCACTATATATACACCACGAACTCCAATGTCAACTAAATACTTAACATAACCGCCGATTTGTTGGACATCAACCTCACTGTCACATAAGAAACAGTGATTTATTTGATTATTATTGAAACTTATATATAAATAAACTACAAATAAAAATGTTTATACCCTTTGCTATCGAACGGTGTGAAAACCGGTGCCATTGCACCCTTGAATTGAAATAATTTTTGTTTTTTTGCCTCCAATGCTGCTGATGATGATAATGGCACCTGGCTACTACTACTACTACTCAAGCACCGRGATGCTAATTTATATCTAAACAAACAATTAGTTTTTGAGCAAACATAGTTTGCAACTAATTGACTAGGTGCAATAATTTTGTACAATGTCATTTTAGACAAATATATCTAATTGAGATTATCAATAGTAAACTTAAAATATAAGAAAATCTAAATTAATAATTAAAAMAACGACAAAAATCAAATGGTAGTAATTTATATCTAGATCAAGGTTAAGCAAGGTTTTTGATTCTGRGGGGGTATAAGGGGTGGTGGGGTGTAGTGAAAAAATCTTAAGGCTTATAGAGTGGAGTATAGACTTTTATTGCTTTTTTAAACATCAATTTTTCAAAAAATAAAGTTAAAAGAAAATTGCCCATGTAAATTGGAGGATAGTTTATGGAAAATATTTCCAATAAATTCACTTATTTTTCAAAAATATTTTCTTACATTAATCGATAAAATCTAATTTTGTCTAAAATTTGAAAAATAAAAATAGGATTAATTTTTATTTATATTTAAGCGAGATTTTTTGTTGTTGGAGTTGATCAAAAAGTTTGGGTAAAATCACAAAATAATTTTTTTTTTGGGGAAGCGGTTGCCACTATCCCCTTACCCCCCATATACTTAACTTTGACTACTTAAGTAATTACCGGTGCTATGTATGTGTAGACCTATTGGCCAATAGGTGGCGCTTGCAATGTGTTTGCCATAGCTATCGATTATAATTGCAAACCAATGTGTGTATTGTTGTTGTTATCAATGTATTTGTTAGCCATAAGTAAAAGTGATTATAATTAACACAATAAACACTAAAATAGCAAAAACACCGATTAGTTAATCATATTTTAAGGTCACTATCGGTATAAAGTTTTGTCTGTCTGTGTGTTTGCCGTCAACTGCAGTCCCCATCCCTTCGCCATCGACCGCAATAATGGCCATCAATGCGGCCAAACAGCTGTTGGACGAACTGATGGGTCGCGAACGCAACTTAGCCGCCGAYGACAAGACATCGTCATTGAACTGGAATGACCAGCAGGTAAGAGACCGCAAGTGGTCAATGATAATTGACACGATAAGTGTCCACTAAGTTTTGATGACTAATTAATTGATATGATTTTATTCCTGATATATCTCCCGATAATTAATAAAATACAAAAACAGGTGTGCCGTCACTTTCTGGTCAAATTCTGTCCAAACGGTTTGTTTACCAATACCCGGGCCGATATCGGTCCCTGTCCACTGGTCCATGATGATTTTCTCAAACGGGAATACGACAAGAAGGCCCGACGAAAGGATAAGATGATCTTCGAGGACGAGTTCATCCGTTTTTGTCAGTCGCAGCTCAACGAAGTCGAGAGAAAGATCAAGAGAGCCAAACAACGGCTAGAGATGAGCCAACTCGAGAGAAACTCCGGCCTAAATGCTACCACTGCTGTACTCAGTGAGGAAAGTCAGGAGAAGATGAAAGTGTTGACCGAACGAATCGATACACTACTGGAACAGATCGAGAAGTTGGGCTGCGAAGGAAAGGTTGAAGAGGCTCAGGGTATCATGAAATTGGTGGACCAGTTGAAGGAAGAAAAGTCGGGAATCAAGAGGGAAGCCATGCCTAATAACCATTGGATTCAACAGAAAGCGGAGATCGGCGCTCAACAGGAGAAACAGATGGAGGTGTGTGACGTTTGCGGTGCCTTTCTTATTGTCAACGATGTTCAACAGCGAGTGGATGACCATCTGATGGGCAAACAGCATATGGGCTACGGCCTGCTCAAGACAGCTTTGGATGAAATACTGGAACGTCGGCGCCAGGAAAGGGATCGCGAGAAACAGGAGGCTGAAAACGAAGCGGCAGCCAGAGAGCGGGCCCGCGATGAACGACGACAACGAGACCGATCGCCGCGCGACAACAGAGATCGGGACCGAGACAGAGAGCGCGATCGTGACCGGGATCGGGATAGAGAGCGACGTCGCGATAGTGAGCCAGACAGACAACGTGATCGCGATTCACGGCGACAYTCGGAACGATCCGACAGGAATGAGAGGTCAGACTCGAACAGAAATGAACGCTCGGATAGAAACGGCAGGTCTGATCGCAGTGAACGTTCCCATAGGGACAGACATTCGGATAGGGATAAGGATAGACATCGTCGACGATCACGATCGCCGCGAAACACAGCAGACATTGACCGCGAACACCATCGGTCGTCATCAGACAGCAAACGATCTACCAAAGAGTCGGGCAGTAGTCCAGTGGCGGCCAAATAGTTGCGCACCGTTTTCCGCAAATCATGAGAGTAAGAGATAATCCCAAATCAGAGGTAAGTCTTTGAAAAATTAAATCCTATTCCTTACCTATCTTTTTATAAAATAATAATAATAACCACAATTATAATGATATCTATTATCCAATTTGTATATATAAACAAACAAAAATTTATATTAATTTATATGTAAATTATATATGAAAAACAGTGACTATTATTAATACGGTATATGTTATAATTTTTTCGTACAACATATACATTATTATATAAGTGTTTATTATTATTATTGTTATATTGACATTAATACCGACGGATGATTATGTGACCAGAGATGAGCTCTGGAGAGATGAGAGTGTGTTAACCGACACTTAACAACTGTCGGGACAACACTTTACTGACCAGTGGACAGACACACACACACTATGAAGACAACAAGTAATTTTGAAATCTCTAACCGAAAACTGCATTTAAACAAAAAAAAGTGCAAACTTTTTCAATAGGTTTTTAAATCGATTTATAATTATAAAACTTGTAATTTTTGGGCCAAACTTTTTTATAATTATAGTTTTAGTAATAAATTTATTAATGTATATATTTATTATTATTATTACTTTAATTCAATCTCATTTACCCTAGCTTATAATTTACAATAAATTTTTTAATATTCTAGATTTTATTAGTATGTTATAAATGATTTACTATCTATTAAATTATATTATAATCTATGGTAATTGGGATTTTACTATATTTATAATTATTTATTATTATTAGATATAAATAAATATCAGAATCTCATAATAAATATTAATTATATGATATTTTAAATGATTTTAATTACCACAACAAAAAARTTATCATTATGTTTTTTAACCCCCTGTTTTTATAGGTTATTATGAAATTTATTGGACGACTACCCGTAATCAAAACAAACAAAAAATCATTTAAAAACTAATTGGCTCTACAATTGTTAGCGACTCTATATATATATACAGATTTATGAAATGTAAATTACCTTTAATTATACACAAAAATAATAATTTTAAATTAATACGATTCCTATGGTAATCATTAATATTAATAATCAATGAATTAAACAAAATTAGACATAAAATTGGGACAAAAGAAATACTACTCAACACTCCATATAAAAAAATCATTGGACGATATAAGAGTTAAGTCATTATTAAAAACTTATTTTTTTTTTGGTTTGAGACCCGTATTATTGTACAAATAGTAGTGTTTTTATTTTATTTTACAAAATACATCTATTTTTTGTTTCGTTTAAATTTAAATCTATAATTAAATAAAAATTAATCAATTTGTTTGTTTTCTGTTGTGAAATGAGTTATTTTGTCATTTTTTTATAATTATTATCCATATATGAGATGCTGAGTGTCTATTGTTTGCGAATTCTCTTCATTTGTCTCATCTGTTTCTTAGCGATTCTGTTGAGTTTCTTCTTGTTCTTAATCTGAATGAAAGTAATAAAAAACAATGAATTTAGTGGACATTAAGACAATTGGACTAAACTATATGGTATATAATTAGTAAACTAATGGGATGTCATGTCATTACCGGAACAGTTATCTCTGCTTTGAGACGGTTTTCCTCTTTTCTGCGCTGATTCTCTTCTCTTCGTTTTGTTTTTTCCTATATTTTAAAAAGAATATTTAAAAACAACAATCAGTTAGTTATGAATTTGATTGTCTTAAATGTCTGGACGGACGGTTCGACTCATCATCCATTCAATGAGTTTGATTGTGTCCATCATTTCAATCGATTGATTGATATAATTATTATTTAAGAAAATCTATATATTTTTTAGTTTAGTTTATATTCAATCAATTGAAACCTCAATTAACTCCCGTTTTCTATCTTTGATCTCCTGATCATAGAGTTTGGCATTTCTGCGTTCATTCTTTATATCCATCTTCTTCTGCCACGAACTCTTTGTCGACTTATCCATCACTAAACTCCTCCTAAACGGTCTGTCATAACAACCGAAATTGCATAAAAAATTTACATATATTTTATGGGTTATAATAATATACACTCAAAATGTTTTTTGACTTAAATTTAAGTATTAGTAAAGATATTTTGATAGCACACTAACTAAATGAAGAGGAATAGCCTAAAACACACTATAACCAAACCAATAACCTTTTTAACTTGATTTTTTAATGGACACAAAATAACTGTCGATGATATTTTAAGTCGACTGTCCCCTCCAACAACAACTCACGCATTGCAGTGCATGAAAAGCAATTCCTGGTTGATATCCTGATTGGACAACAAGCGGAACCTTTCCAGCGACGTTACCGACGCTGGTATCGAGAGAATCCATTTGGCCAGCTTTGCCAACTTCGGGAACTCATTCTGATGGTCTTTCCACCAGCTCAGTATGTTTTGTTCGTTACAAGTGGTCAACTGAACCGATATATATTTGTTGAGTTCGTCTTTATCGGACACCTGTTCCTCCCATTCATCGAAGTCCGATCGGGCCTTCTTAGGGTTGGACGCACCGCTGCTGTCGACGCCACGAATAACACAGTCGTCGCCGATACCGTCCAGGTCTTCAATATGGGCGCGAGTTTCGATGAGATTTCTAACTTCATTGTGCACTTCCTCTCGTTCTTCGCTGGACAACATCTTCAAGAAACGAAAGTTTGGCCACAGAAAGGCCGCAATCTTGTGAAAGGTTTGCAACTGAAAGTTCTGTTCCATTCCTGTCTTGATTACGGTTTTGAGGTCAGCGATAGACGTTTCGTCATCGCCGGTAGTATTCAAATGCTTAAGTAGTTTATAATACCAGAGCAAAACATGGTTTATAGTCGGATGACGACTGCATTGACGTAATTCTATGGCCGCCGCTTTGAACGGCCCCAAGAAGTCTACCAAATCTTCAACTAATCCCAAATCAAGTGACGAGTTCTTCAGCTCGAATTTATGACGACTTTCGACAACATAGCGCATTACTTCGTATTTGTTGACCCATTCGATGGGATAGCCATCGATTACTAGCCGAAGTTCAGCGCAAATCACTTTACAATTTTCGACAATCTCTGTAAAATTGTCGTCACTGAATACGGCACTCTCGATGACAGCGTCGATAACGTGTGCCATCGATGTCAGACACATGGATACGCCATCAAAGAGTCCGCCGCGCGATATGAATGTAAACTTTGCCAGACGTCGGTCTTCATTGAGGCCGAAATCATCGAGTGTTTGGCTAATAAATAAGTTGATATCGCAGCCCAATGCCGATGCGCTCAGTATACTCTCTACTAACTGCCAACTCTGGTCAATATAGTAAGTAGATATTACGCACCGGTCGTTCTCAGAGTCACATACCAGTGCAGCACCGATATTCCTGTCCAGAGCCGTATTGAGACCCTCTTTGACCCGATTTTTGCATTGATTGTATTGACCGGTCATTTGAGCGTACAGTTGGTTACTGTCCGGTAAAGATATAGATCCCTTGCCGACGGCAGTGATCAACTTGACCAGTGACTGGACAATAGCTTTGAACGAATCGCTGGTCACTGTTTCGACGCTAATTAGCTCATTATAGCACAACTGTAGTATGCGTTCCCTGAGCTCCGACTTTATATTAGCCAACTTATTGTTGGCCTGAACTAACATCTTAGGCGTACCGTTAGGCGTATCGGTGGCTGACCTGTTGATCAGTGAGCTCATTGGCGTACTGTTAGATTGGCGTCCTATCGATAGTTTAGGCGTCACTTTTGGCTCTGCGGTAGAAAAAATCGCAAAAATTATAATTACAATTATCACCGAAAGTCGTGTTTTGGTCACACCTTTCTTAATTTTGTTGGCCGACATCGTCGGCGTCGACCTGGTCTGCGGGTTTGCAAATTGTTCGGGAAATAGTTCTCGAAAACAATGGTGTCGCCGCATATGTGACGTACCTATCGATTAGAGAGCCAATCAATTAGTCATTTGATAGTCAGGATTTGTTAAAATCAAATTTGCTTACCCGTTATCTGGCCGTGATATCTGGTCATGAATTGACAGGCACTACATCGGACAATCCCAGTGAACAGTTGTGTATTGGTATAGGCTATCTCTTCGAACAGTTTCCAGACGCCAGAACTGGAACCGTTGGCTCTCTGGCGGCCGAAACATTCGCCGGTCGCCAGTTTGTCTCGTATCTCATCGATGGCCGGAAAATTGCTAATTAATTTTCAGTGGGACAGGACATCAATTGGTGGCATACGATTGTGTAAGTGTTTGCCATACAAAACAAATAATATAATTTGTTTGCTTTAAACCATTTATTTTTATTTTATTTTTTTATAGAAAAAACTTTATTTTGCAAATATTTTTTTAGGGGTTGTGTGTGTGTGTAGTATTTAAAACAAATTAAGGATATTATATGTGATATATTAAACAATTAATAACAGATAATTGGTTTGGTTTGTGTGCTTTTTTTAAATTGAAACCCGCAAAAATAAAACCGAAATTTAATCAATTTATAGAAAAACTCAAATTAAGGTAAAAATTAAAAAAAAAAATAATTTTTGAAAAGTATAGTAGAAAATAGTATTTACGGTAATTTTAGTTTTAAATAAATAGCTTATTAATATATATTGTAATATAAAGTTAGTCAATAGTTATCATACAGTATATGCAATGTTTGGATTCAATGTTAAAACGGGAACAACCCGGACACTATTACGGTAATTACACTTAATTTATAATTTAGTTAAATATAAGCTAAATCCTATATCCGCGGGTCGGGTATCTATATTGTTCCCGTTTCGACATTTATATCACTTAAATTATTATTACTAATTATAGATAGAGAGCGGTCATACCGGGCAAGTGTACGCTCCGACGTTATTGGACGGCCAACTTTGCGTTTGGGTGCCGATCCCGGCGAGTCGCCATCGGCTGCTTCCGTGGCCGACAAATTGATTTCGCTTAGCTCTGTATCGGCTGACATTAATACTGTGTATTTCCCGATTAATAAACACCTGTATAATCGGGTTGACATAAAAAATATATATTATATATATAAATATAAAAACTTATTGTTAAAAAAATATGATGAAAATCAATCTACTGTTTATATAAACTATCGGACAATACCCGTACGGGTTGTGTGTGTGTCGGGAAAAGCAGTGTTACTTTTATACTGTAGATAACAGTATAGAGACAAACACAGGAACGGTATATAAAAGATACAKATATATATATAKAGATGACATATAAAAATACCTGAACTTTGTGTTTGTTGGTTTGGACACAGTTTTTATTTGCCGATGATTTGTATCGATAGTTAGATCCACTCAACAAAAAACAATACCAACAAAAAAAACTATTGAAATATTAATGAATACTAAAAAAACAACTAAAAACTCGCTGTCATTACAAATACTGTTATGCGGGCTCTCTCTCTCTCATACAGTCTATACTATAGCACTGGTAGGCAACTACTACTGGCACTGGTATTTCCGTATCAAATGGCGAGTTTCCGTTCGCTGAGAGAGAGAAACTCTCTCATATATAAACACACAGTATATATGTATAAAGCACAGGCAGTTTTTCAAGCACTGTCATACTGTAGTCGTCTGCGTTTATTATTACAACCGAAATACAGTGCGGTTATTGGTTTACTGTTGTCGGGTGTGTATGTTTTCCCAACCATTTCCCTTTAACACACAACTGGTAAACATAAAACAGGCTCTGGTATTAGACAGTAGTGTAGCCAAGTGTGCATTAATATAGTGGTGGGCACAGGTAGTATATTGTGTTTGTGTATTACACACAGTGTGTATGTATGCGCTTCACAGGCCATCCGATTAGTGCGGGATTTAAAATCCCTAACAATTTATTTTTATTCATTTACCGGATATATATAGTACTGTATATATGTATAGAAAGTGTATTAAAAATAATAGTTATTTATCACTGTTTGTGTCAATTTTTATGTTAGACTTGAGTATAGTATTAAATACAACAAATATAAAGTTATTTTTTTTAAATAAATAAAATAAATATTTTTTTCGAGGAAAATGTATTAAATTATAATACATAAGGGAATGGGATAACACATACACATAGAAAAAATATGTTTAGTTTACAACATTATAAATCTAAATATAACTAACTTTCCTTTTCACTCCCCATTTCCCGCAAATATAGTTTAATTGATTTTAACAATAAAATATTGTAGATTTAAAAGAAAATCAATGTTTAAATATTTATATTAAATAAAAAAAATTTTTCTTGATTATTGTATCTAGATGATTTCATACAACAACAATAACAACAAAACAAACATTAAATATTAGATTTATAATCGGGATTTTTTTTTAATAATAAAAATATCATATATCATAAAGTTTAGTATACATTAAGTAAATCCAATGCCAGTAGTAATACAATACAGTAAAGTATTAATAGTAAAGATATTCAGTAAAAATTATTACATCGATATTGAAAACATTGAGTTTTGTAAAATAGTTTTAGTGTTATTTAAAGACATGTGTGAAGTCATATATTTTGTTGATAGTTATGCTTACAATTTGTGTTTATATACAATATATTTCAATACAAATCATAATTATTGTACTGTCAGTCAGTCAGTTAGATAGACACACATAATAGCTAAGACATACAGTAGCTCATACCTAAATTTTCATGCATTGTGTATTTACCTACTGTACTCCATTGACAAGTAAAACATCCAGTCACCACCATCATGACCACCATCAACATCATCATTAACTATCATCAATAATAATAACAACATTAATAATCACTGATTATTACTATACATCAATTAGCTAAAGACAACTAACTACAGTATAATACATGAATGACTTATGGATCTATCATAATATATTTGATAACCTAGCACATTTGTATATGATATACAGTAATTTACATTATTATTATTATTAAATCGGGCACCTACACCTAAATGGCACAATCATATTAATAATTAACTTATTATTATTATTATTAAATCGGGCACCTACACCTAAATGGCACAATCATATTAATAATTAACTTATTATTATTATTATTAAATCGGGCACCTACACCTAAATGGCACAATCATATTAATAATTAACTTATTATTATTATTATTAAATACCTACACCTAAATGGCACAATCATATTAATAATTAACTTATTATTATTATTATTAAATCGGGCACCTACACCTAAATGGCACAATCATATTAATAATTAACTTATTATTATTATTATTAACTCGGGCACCTATACCTAAATGACACAATCATATTAATAATTAACATTATTATTATTATTGACTGTTTGTTGTGTATCTAATATATGATATGTTTATCATATAGTTTTTGTGATGACATCAACCAAATAAAAGCCGGAGAAATCATTGGATAATTAAGACAAATGTTTGTTTTATTTTGATTTAGCAAACAGTGACTGATTTACTAGTGATTTGTCATCAAATTATATCCGCTTTTTATACGATATCCATATAAATCAATACAACTTATCTAACAATACTATGTAAATACATTGTATTATACAAACAAACAAACAAATAAAATATAAATAATTAAATAAAATAGTGATAAACATTGAATATCGTGATTATCGCATTCATTGTCATCACATTTTTATGTGACGCCCCGTTTGAATAATGCATTTTAATTATTGTCAATTTGTTAGTCAATTACTGATAATATTACTGTACAGTAGTTGATCATTGATTGTACTGTAGTTGTGGTCAACAAAAGCATTTGATATTATAAAATCAAAAACTAAATTGTTTTTTTAATAATGTCTACCATCGGTGATGATGATGACGATGATAATGAACCGGTCATCAATGTTACACAACTTGTACAGGTATTCAAAACATACATAACTTTCCTCGCATTCTAGCATACATGTCCTTAACATATCATATATCTGTAAAATAAGTTAATATACAATTTTTTTAAAAAAATTTTCGTGTAGTTAACTGATTTGGGTATCAATGAAAAGGACATCAATTGGTCAAAAGTAAAGATAAATAGCTATCGATGGATTGCCGTCCGACATAGTAAGCCTATGCAAGAGTGTCAAGGACTGGAACCAATGGTCTCTACGGAAATGGCCTGCAGTTTACCGTCGGAGGCCTATTATCCGCATTTGTTTAGCCCATACCATCGCAACTACAGTTGTGACGATCTACAGCACATCAGAAATAGTCACGAAGGCCACTGTCCTAATCATAAAACTAACGGTGCGATCGCCGGTGTTGTATCTCAGGAAACAGTTATCACAGTAATCAATCCGTTTACTAATCATCTGTACAATTGTCAGACCAGTTGCGACACAAAATGCGCCCAAATATCGGCCGACAATGAGATGATCGCCATCTCTAACGACCGTTATCTGGCCGTCTATTGTGTCGCTACCAATAAGTGCTTAAACACTTTGCCGTTCGCCTCCCGATGCCTTTACTGGTGCTGGATTGCCAGCAATACAATTGCAATCATCACCGATATTGATGTCTATCACTGGTGTATTGACTATCCATTTGAACCGAAACTTGTCTTCAAACTTGACAAACGTTTTCGCGACTATCAGATCACTGGCTATAAGTGTGATCTACGAAACCAGTTATGGTTTGCCATATCGTCGCTATATGTTGACGATGAAGGTAAACCTATTTTAATTAGAGTATAACTAATTGTCAACTAATTTCTTACTGTGTTTTTTTTAAAAAAAACAGGTGATATAAACGGCTGTATTCAGATCTATTCTGAACGCAACCAACTGTCCCAATGTATCGAAGCCCATGCGTTCACACTATGCGAGTACCGATTCCAAGCTAACCGTTGGCCAACCAACGTACTATTGGCCGCCAAACGTAGTCATATGAATACTTTTAAGATATACATCATAGAGTTGGGACCGATACCCGAAGGCAACAACTCGTTAATTTCACGCACAGAAGTCATACCTCTTGTCGATGGCAACGATGTTCAACACATGGATATACCGGTTGCCATTGAATGCAATACGGAATTAGGACTTATTTACGTATTTACAAAGTACGGTGCCCTATACCTATGCGACATGGACTCGGCCGCTCTTATACAGTCGGCAGTCATATCGGCATCGGTAGTGTTTGCCGCACTGTTGGACGACGACTCGCAAACCGTATTAGCTATCAACCGATCGGGGCAATTGTTGTCCATCAATTTGTTTATTTCCCAATTGATCCGAAACTTGACTGATTCGGCTAAGCCAGAGATTGCCCAACGAATTCAAGCCATTGTTGACAGTGAGACAGGCAGTGATGGCCGACCCGTCGGTGACGATGACGACGACGATGAAGACTGTGATGAAGTGACCAGACTTTAAATTATTATTTGTTATATTTTTTAAAGTTATATATGTTATTAATTATTATTATTATTATACTGTATATAATAATTACAGTAATATTGTTGATTAATTTTAATTGCAATATATTTTTTTGTACTGTATTTACACTAAATAATTGTCAGATTTTGTTGAGTATTATTTATATATGATTGAAGTTTTTGTATTATTTATTTATTATTAATACAAGGAATTAAGTATTAATTTTGTTATAAATGTCAAATTTTTTTCATTATTATTATTAATAATATTATTATACTGTAATAACTATTATAATGTACTGTACTTATGTATTAATGTGCGGATAATATAATTTTTTTAAAAAATAGTATGGTATTTAAATTTGATACTTAAAAAATAATCTAGTCAAAATATGCATCTAATACAATTATTAATTTTTTAAAATAATTATGTGACATTACATACAAATGAAAATAATTTTTTTTGTATCATAATTTTTATTATTGGCTCTAATATTACTAAATTATTAAAAAATAAATAAAATAAATACTCATTTCATTAATGAGTTTTTTGTTACAATATAGTTTGTTGTATTTTTTAGAAATATTTAAATTATAAACATTTTTTGTAATTTAAAAAACAATTAAAATTTTTACGAATTTAAGAAAAATATTTTTCTTTATACTTAAATATTTGCGAAGATAATTATTATTTAAATTTATATATAAATTACAACTAATGTATTATAAAATTTATATAATATACTGTACTATTATTATGTAGGTATATACCGGTACTAATATACTGTATATATTAATTTATAAGTTACTATTATATTATTATATAAGGTTATTATATAAAGTTCAAGTTTAAGTTAAATAATAAATATAAAGCCATAAAATATTGTATGCAATACTAAAAATATGATGATTTAATATTAATATATTATTTAATATAGAAAATACGATTATATTAGTATAATATTTATGTAATTCAATATTAATCCGATGAAAATTAACATAATATAACTGCGTTTTTTTCAATTTATTATTAAATAAAATTACTAATTATCTAATAATCTATTTGTATCCTATATACTGTAAATTACATTAATATTTGATAACTGTTAATGTAATTTCTTAATAAAATAGTATACCGGTATTTACAATATATTTTACTATTGATAGTATCAATGCTGTCAGTATTATATAATAATATATAGAATATATATATATATATATATATATATATATATATAATAAATATTATATACATTTAGTATGTATAATATGATATACCATAATAAATACATTTTGCTAATTAATTTAATAGATTTAAAAAAAATATTTTGGATAAAAACTAAATCTTCTTAACAAATATAATTTGTTTGCATGTTTGTCTAACATGAATGACATTGATGAATTACTATAGCAAGTTAAATTAATTACAACAAAATAAAATAAAAACTAAAACTGTATATTCAAAAGATTGTGTAGATTTTTGATAAGTATTAAAAAAGTGTGTGTGTGTGTGTGTGTGTGTGTGTGTGTGTGTGTGTGTGTGTGTGTGATGTTTAATTATCACATTAAAAAAAAAAAGTTTGGTTACTATTTTTTGGTTTGTTTTTTATAATCTAAATAAACATTTTTTATAATATGCAAATATATACTGTATATATAGATAAAAATATAAGAGACAATTCAATACTATAAATTATAATAATTTTCCAATTAAAAACATATAATAATAATAATAGTATTAATATGGATATATTAATTTAATTATTCATCAATTATAATAAATATGATCTGTCTTAATAGCATTTTAAAAACCGGAATTAATATTTATTTATAAATTAATATTTAGGTATATACTATATTAAAATTTTTAAAGAAATAAATAATTCAAGTGTTATGATACAGTAGTTTTAGGGGAAAACAGTATAATACTAAAAAATATGGTAATATTTAATGAAGTATTAATAATAAATACAGTATTAATAGAATATACAATATATATATATATATAGTATAGTATAATATGTTATATAATATATACTGAACTGTATTTATTTGTTTATATGATTTAGTCCGACAACACATTGAATTTTGATTACATATATATATACATTGAGTGCAACCAGAATATTCTTAACAGAATATGAATAATATATTAATGAAAGAAATAGCAAACAAAACTAAATATATTATTACGTTATTATTATTATTATTATTATAAGTGTAAATGTGTTGTCTGTATTTATTAGATACTGTAATAATCTTTTTATTTAGATTTTCAATAGTTGTGTGATAACTACAAACACACACACACACACACACACACACACACACACACACACACACACACACACACACACACACACACACACACACCAGTCAATGGGATTTATATGCAATTTTTGGAGACAATAGCTAAATGTATGTATGAGAGAGTGGAAAAGCTTTTGATTTTAATTTCCATCATTAATGACACGGATGTCCAACCAAATGGGTCTCACGTCTATATAGTCTAAGCGCAACCCATGTCACCAAAAATGTGAGTTGCATTGTGTGTGTGTGTGTGTGTGTGTGAGAGAGAGAGAGAGAGAGAGAGAGAGAGAGAGAGAGTCGGTATATAAAAGCACTCCTTTATCTTATTCTCGGTGATAACGGTGCGGACGACATGCGCGGACTACAAGAAATTTTTGAAGTTGTTATGTGTGTACAGTATATACTGTTTGTGAAAACTGGTGGTTAGATCACTGTCTGTCTTTCTCTCGCTCCTCTCATCCATCCAGAGCGTGGTTTGATGAACAGTGAATGATAATAATAATAATAATAAGTTATCCAAACATCAAGCAATCCATGAATATAACTACTACTACTACTACTACTATTATTATTACTACTACTTCGCACATCTGATTATATTTTTTTGTCGAAACGATTATTCAGTAAAAGTTTTTTCGGAAGAGAAAAGAGAGGAAGACTTGAGAGGATAGGCTATAGAGTGGGAGATATATATAAAAGGATTGACATATAAAGAGATAGACATTGAGGAAGAAGAAAGAGAGTCAATCAGATGCAAGTCATTGATAATAATATTGAAAAACTTTTTATTTTATTTGTCCGTTTGTTTGTCTTATTGGGTATTATTATTCAATGAGTTTTAATTAAATATTTTTGTTATCATTGAATATAAATCGCATTTAATTATTTATTATAAGTATTTTCTAATTAAAAACTATTATAATATTAATACAGTATTATTATTATTGTTGTTGATATCTATAATAAATGTTATTCATATTATAAAATCAATGCATATAATAGTTTTTAGCGACATTTAAAAGTAATAGAAAAAAGCATCAAATTTCTAATTATTTTATATATTCATAAAATTAACTTTAATATTAAAAAAGAGAAATTAATTATTATTGAATAGTCAGTCGTATTAGAGGACAGTCCCGAAGCAATACCCAAATAAGCTATGAATCAAATTACTAACACTTCAAACAACATCACTACTAATAGTTACTTATCGACAATGCCATCGATAATGCGGTGTCGACTGAAAACAGGTGTTACCGGTTTCGGGTTTACTGTCAAGTCCCGGGCAACAGCACCGACACTGTCGGTAAGTGAACTTCACCGTAACGGCGAGGCCGAAAAGTCAGGACTCATACGTCCAGGCGATCTTATACTGAGGATCAACGATCGCGATGTCTCCCAGTGCTCGTATAGCGAAGCCTACGAGATCCTACTGTCGGCTCAACGTGACTCACAGTCGGCATCGTTTGTAGTGCGGGCACCGATCGGCTATACAACCCGACTGGAAACTACGTTCGCAGCTGACGGAACTCCGCGAACAGTTAGAGTTACCGAAAAAATTATCCGAAAGTCGACGACCAAAGAAAATGAGTCGCCATCGGTGGACACATACTCGCGTGTTCAACAACAGGCGCTGACATCGTCACCGCTGCGACAGCCGACCAACCGATTGGTCAACTGTTCGTCGCCGACAACCGGCGCTCAGGTTTTTCCTAAGAGAGGAAATATCAGTAATAAGGAGACATCAAATTTGACAAAATCTCCAGAAACTACTACTACTACTACTTTTACCAATACTACTACCACTATCTGTAACTCGACGAGTGATAGTATTGTTAAGTCATTACCTCAGGAACAGCATAATTACTGTCCCAACGATGCACAGTAAGTACAGTAAATAGTTTATTAAAATTTAATATTACAATTATATAATTATTTTTATTTATTACTATAAAATAATAAATAAATATTTTGTTTTGTTTTTAAAAATTTTATTTAATAATATAAGATTCAGTTTTACTATTATTATTATATTATATATACATAAATAAAATTACATAAAATTCCTATTTTTTCTAAATAAATATATACAGTATATATATATATATAATATTTATCTTATATGCAATAAATAAATATGTTTTGATTTGTTTCGAGACACTTGTTATGCAATGATTCAAAATTTATCGATGGTTTGTGTATTATTTAACAAAATAAAAATAAATTTAGTTTCTTAGTATAATATATAGTTATAGCTACTATTTTATTGCTTATTTTTTTATATAAAAAATAAAAAACTTGATGATGATAAAATATATATTGGGACTATTTATTGTTATGATTACTATAGTATAATACAATAGTTGTTGTTGTTGTGATAGTTATTATGTTTTCTACAATTGTTGTAATACAGTAGTTATCAAATAAATGTTTTGTTGTAAAAATATACAAAATATTTATATCGTGATTGAAAACCAATTTGTATTATTTGATTTAACACGCAATTTTATTGCCAATATTTTTGCTGTTAATATACTTAATAATAGTACTTAATAATAAATAGTTTGAAAAAAATTATTTAAATTAATTAAAAAACTAAACAAACAAAATATTATACACTGTATACTACAGTTCAGATACTTATATTTCAATTCAAGTACATACTAGTAGTTTACAAAATATTTATATATTTGTTGCTATAATTTAAAAATTATTAGAAATTTAACGATATTTTAATATTTGTTTTAATATAATAGTTTGTAAATTATTGATAAGTAGATGGAAAATTATTATATATTATTATTATTATTATTTATATATAATTTGTAGGTTTTCACAGTTATATGAGTTTACATCTATAGTCTAATGAATTGCAAATTATTATAAAATAAAATTATCAATAATATGATGTATATGTAAGATAATACAGTATTTACAAATAACTATTTGTGAATTTAACAAATTTTTAATTAAATTTATATATTTATATATATACAAGAATATATTTAAAAAAATAAAACACAGTATTTATTACAATTTTGTTGAATAAATTACATACATTATAAATTTTGTTTTAATTTTTAAATATAACAAATTTTATATACAGTATGCGTGTGAAATATGATCCTAAATATGCTTTTTAAAAATAATATTTAAAAATAATTTTTCTCATCCAAAATGTGTCAAAATATATATATATATTGTATATCTATATAAATATAATATTATTTAATGGCATATACTTGTGATTTTTGTGTGAAAATAAAATAAAATTACTTAATAAAAATAACAACTAGAATATTCAACCAAAATCTACTTTATTTATTAAAATAAATTCAAAAATCAATATTATTTATTAGTGTCTATAAATTTAGTAATTTTAAATTCATACTACCGGTGCTATCCATGAAATAAAACTATTCTTTGAATAATTTTACATACATTTTACTATATATTCAATACATATATTCATTACTATTTATATATATATATAAATATATAGAAAAATACTATAGTTTTGAAAATCATTATTAAATCAATTTAAACAATTTTTATTTTAGTGATATAAATGTTTTGGTCCAAACAATAACTTTTTTGTTTGTTATTACTGTTTTTGTTGTCAAATATAATAATTTATTTTATAAACAAATCAGTCATTGAATTTCTTTTCAGTCAGTCATCCAGTCATTGATTCCCTGAAGAGATTCCCTAAACAATAAAAATAATATATATTTTTGTTGTTGTAATTTAATAACACATAAGTTTTAATATACACTTTTTTGTATTTTACAGTACTATTAGAGTATATTTTGAAAAGTTATATATATATATTTTTAGCAATAGTTAAATTTAGAAAGATATACGTAGATGCTATTAAATTAAATTTGATAAAAAAAATTTTTTTTATACCCACTTTATTATAATAATAACGTCAATAGTTTTTTATGCAAAAAAAGGTTTAATGTTTGTCAATTTACTGTATATATGATTAAAAAAACAAAATCAATTTTTCAAATAATAATTATTGGTTTTTATATGATATATATATTTTTATAAATCTTAAATGTCATAATTCCTAACTAATATTATAGTTAAAATAGTTTTATTTTATTTTTTTTAAGTAAAATTAGTTTAAATAACTATAATATAAAAATCACTAGTCATGTATGTGTATGTGTATACACATATTGTTTTATTGACTTGTTTTACACAATATAATTTATATTGTATTATTATACATAATTGATTGCGAATAACTGATAAAATAACAACACATTTGAATAAATTATAAATACACTTATGATTTATTTATATGATATACATATGTATTATATATACTGTATATGTCGTACATTATTGTAATATATGGATATTTAATGCATGCTTTTGGGTTTGTGGTAGTGTTTAAAGTTTTTTTTAAAAAGAAAAAAAAGACTCGAGTTTTATGCAAATTTTATAGATAAATATTGACTCAAATATTAAGTATTATATTTTTTTAAAAAAAACTTTTTTGTCGGTATTTCCAGTACTGAGAAAAAATATTTTAAATGGTTGAACAATCAAAAAAGTTTTAGATTATACACATGTATACTATATATTAATGAGAGGTTTATTGATTAAGATTTTTTTTTTTTGTTTTTTCTTTACTATTGAAATACATATAAGATATATAATACTTTTATATAATCTATATATATATATTGTTAGACTTTATTCTCATTAGTGAATATATTATTATAACATGTAATTATACTGTATGTATGCCATTATAAAAGTTGACATCAAAAATACAATATTGATTACATAGTTTGTCATAAAATAAAATTAGTAAATATGTTAAATACTGTAAAATAATGTAAAATAAAGTTATGTAGGTTTTGTTATTTAATAAAAAAAATAAATTTTTAATTTCAATTGTTCACTAATTATAGTAATATTTAATTAAAAATTTTGTTTTAAAATATAGTTATAAAATTTTCTACAAGTTTGTAGTTTATTTAATATTATGACACGAAAAAACAAAGTTTTTTTAATATAGCTTTTTAAAACATTAAAATACATGTTATATTATTTATATATTAACAGTTAAATATAGAATCAAAAAAAATAATATTATTAAATACAATATTTGATTTAATTTATAAACTGATGGAATAGATTTTAATAGATTTAAACTATTTATTATTATTATTATTAGTGTAAAAACATACTATAGTATAACTATAAGATTTTATATTTAAATTTAAGTTTATATATTCAGTATATACTATAATAATATAATATATAACTATATTCTATAACTCGTAATTTTCGTTTGTCTTTTTTTTGAAAAATAAATAAATTTTTATTTGAATAGATTTTTGAAAATTCTTGTTTTGTTATGTTTTTTTTATTGAATAAACAATTTTTATTTTATTTTAAAGTGAATACTACAGTAAAGTATAAATATATTTTTATAAGACTTACTATTTATTTAAGTTTATATTATACAAGAAAAATACTGTTAGATTTGGACTTCAAATCAAATTATTGGCAAATGTCTTATTAGCAGTGAGTTAGTATATTGTCATATATTTATTATATAGTATAGTAAAGTATATAACATATACTGTACAATATATTACAGTAATTTAGTATATTATCAGTTGAGCAACAAATATATATATTTTTGATAATCTATCTCTTTCTCCAAACTTTCTCTCTCTCTCTCTCTCTCTCTCTCTCTCTCTCTCTCTCCTCTCTCGCTTCTCTTGCTTTCTGATCTAACTTTAGTAATTGTAATCAAAAAAGTTTTGTTATATTTAGTATTATATATTGATTAGGGGGTAGAAAATATCAAAAACACAATTTGATTAGCTTTACTAAATGAGAAGCAATGAATGAGTGAACCAGTGGGTGAGTAAATGAGTGAAAAAGAAAGAAAGAGAGAGAGAGAGAGAGAGAGAGAGAGAGAGAGAGAGAGAGAGAGAGAGAGAGAGAGAGAGAGAATAATTTATATGATATAAATCGATAGTTTTATTTTGTTTCTGAGATTTACTTTTGATTATCATTAGATAAACTCGACGATCGCTTATAATAGTATATCAATCAATCATTTAAAATAGCAATAATATACTCAAACAGTTTGTTTATTTATTTTTTGCTATACCTATTTTGCGTGCTATTAGCTACTAATATATATACAGTAATCAACTAATGTTATGTAATTTTTTATACATTTGTTTTTATATATTTATACACTAAATTGTGATGTATTTTTGTATATACTTACTATTTACAAGTTAATCACAAAGATATTATTATCATTGTTTTACTAAATTATTTGTTTCATTGTTTTTATATATACAATATTATTTTTGTTTAGAAAGATAATAATAAAAATAATTTGATTTATATATAAATATATTTTTAAAAAACTTAATATACAGTACAATATCTATTACAAGCCCACACATTAGTGATTTACTTTATATATTTGTTAAACTACTAAACTATATTAATTTAATAAATATTTATACAATAAATTAAAAACTAAATGTATAGCTAAAAAATTAAATAATTTTTCATGGTAATTTTATGTTCGATAAAAATTTTGAATTTAAAATTTCTATATGTCAAATACATGTAAAACAAAATTAATATTATAATGTATTTATAGATTTGAATTAGATTGAAAATTATTAAAAAACCCTTTAAATTTACCGAAATTTATCTATTATTGGATAATACGGTAAAACATTAAACAATTTTTAATGTTTAGTAAAAATTTAAATTATTCTATAAATTTTAATAAAAACAAAGTTATATGTCAATTATAAATTATAATATTTTGAAATAAATTTATTATAGTAATATAATATTTACTAAAATATTAGCAGTTATTTTTAT